AATACTCCACGTCATGTCAGGCAGAATCGTTCCAGAATGTTAAGCGGTTACTATTTTATTTCTTTCAGTTTATGGAATAGTCTATTTTTTTATGTAGAAATATCTATTATTGTTACCCAAAATAAAAAAAGTATCCCCTTCAAGTTTCATCATTAAGCAAGAATTTTTTGTTATTTTCATGAATTTTATAAAATATTTCAACATGTAATTTCAAGTTGTTAAAGAAACATATTTTTACACATTCCACAGTGATCTATAAAGAGCTAACAGCTCGTGAATAAAATAACATTAATTATATTGAATACCAATCACATATTTATCTATTTATCAATCTGAATACTGTTTGCTGTGTAAAATAATTAATTTACTATCAGTTAATTTCTGAGAACTTTCGTAAACTCTATGATGTTATAAATTGCTTGCTGGATATTCTGCTACTATTATTTTTCTATTGATTCATAGTGTGAGTCACTTGCAGGCATGAAATTAAGTAGTTGACTATATTACCGGAAATGAGTCTTCATTCGACAGAAACTCTAATAATTGCACTCCCAATTAAATTTGTCATTTTCACAACTACTTTGATTCTGTTTATGAACAGTCGCGACAAATTGTGTTAAAATATAATTGAAACTCCACAAATCCAATTTTGAATATTACTTCTGAAAGGTATTAAATAGTTAAAAACTCTGAATTACTAAAACAACAAATATCTTGAAAATCATATTATACATTTAAAGAATTTTGTGTTTTAAAAATGCTTTGAAAATTAAACAGACTTGCTTTTGTTCGTCTGTGGCCACCCGTGTGGCACGCGTCTCGATTACTCGAGGACAGTCTGAAACATTGTATGACGAATTCGAGCGAAGAGGTCATTTATCTCTAACTTCGAGTGGAGTGGCACAGGTCGATATCTACTCGGGCAATAATGTAAACTCAACGAACAGAAAGTTTGACGTTCTCCAGTCATCATCGATACTAAATTCAATAGTTCATTTCAACTTGTACCTTAAATTGAATCGGATTCGTATCTTAATTTAGTAAAGAAAACTTTTGGTTTTTGCAGAGAATTCTCGGAGATCTTGTATTTCTTTATCTAAAGTAAACGTGTTGTTGAAGTTGTAATGAATTATTCTGTTTACAAACTAAAATTTCCAAACATAAAAGCGCCATCTTAGAGAGTACAGGCCGTATTTTACTACAAAATTAAGAACTTGGTACTAATAACGGAAATTTCCAAGGACGTCGTGTCTGAGCAATCACAGAAAGGAAAACAGAAGAAAGAGCTTGAACATAGACGAAACAGAGAAACTTGCAGGTCGAAAGAAGAGAAGAACATTCCCTCCAAGGACCGATTCCAGCAGGCCGAAAAAGCGCCATCTGACCCTACGCAGTTGACCTATAGCAAAGCTCGTAGCTTACTGCATCAGTCCCATTCAAACCGCGGTGGTGTGTTTGTCGATCATCGATTTCTTATTCTAAATCAACTTTTATTGTCTTTGTCTATTGACTTGTCGAATCCATTTGACCGACTTGATGTTTTAATTAAAATAAACTTATCATGTATTAAACGGAAGATAATTTAACGAAAGTAGTGAATATATATTAAGAAAATAATTAAGATGTCGATCAACGTTAAGGATGACGAGATTCAGGGTTGCGAAAAAGAAGAAATGACCTTTGACTCAAAGATCGAAGAATTAACTCTGGGCTCGAGTGAAAAACACAAGGATGATAATAAAGCGTACTTGGGTGAGTGTCTATTAAGAATATATGCATACTATTTTTTTTATCTATTTAGTATTTATTATAATCTGCTTCAAAGAAAAAAGAATAATTAAACAAAAATTAACATGTAGATATTTCAACCTCTGGTTCATCTTCTTGTCTAATTTATAATTAGTAAGCTCTTATTGTATTATAAGCTTTATTTCACTTTCTTTTTAAAATAAGAAAATAATTGATTGTTGTAAAAGAATTTGTTATAATTAACACGATAAGAAATGATTATTCCATGATGATTCGTGCCCGATTATGAACACATACTTTTTCTATTGTGGAATGTTAAAATTACCGTTGGTGGGTTATTGTTGCCTTCCTGTCGTCTCTTGTTCTGGAATATAGAAGTATGGGTGAAAGTATCCGCGTTCACACAAGTTAAAGATCGTATAAAATGCAACTGATATCCTAATCATGAATTAGGATCATAAATTTCAATTGGATTCATAAATTTTAATTATGGTTAGGATTAAACTGATTAATACGAGTTTTATTCTAAATAATGTTAATTAAAAATATTCATATTTATGAATAGAAGAAGAAAAGTTGTGTAGAGAAATATTTGGAAGTTAATATATGTTTTTCATAGCATTATTTTGAAACTCTGTAATTTACTATTTAATATGTGATTTGTGCTAGGAACAGTAGTATTTATTACTGGACTAATAATAGGAGCTACCAATAACTTTTCTTGCCAGTATTTAAACGAATTTCGGAATATTTCATCGATGTAGTACATAATTAATAAATTATTCTTTTAATTTTATACAATATACAAATTGTATATGAAATAGCTTTTGAAATGTTATTTGCTTGAGAAAAATTATAATCTGAAGACGATAACGAATATATATTTCACTTTGAATGAATAAAAGCTTTTCAAATAATTATTTGACCGATTAAACATATCAATTAAGTGCATAGTGATTGCATTAGTCATCTATTACTCGAAGAAAATTGTGTAGTAATTAATATTTCATTAAATGCGCACTCGATAACGTTTACAGAATGTAATGTTAAAGAAATGACTAATACATTTTCTACATTTCTCCCTATTTTTCAGTCGTCATTATTATTAATATTTTTATTATTATATACAGGAAATCAAAATGCAATTCCACAACTGCAAAGTGCCGACAGAATACTTAACGCGAAGAATCAAATTGAAAGTTGCACAACGTTGTTAAACTTTCTAGCCGATTCCCAGTGGACGTTGACGCAAGTCAACGGACAAAGAAAGCTTGGACCACCGCCAGGATGGACAGGACCGCCTCCTGATCCCAAATGCGAAGTTTTCGTCGGAAGTATCCCGAGGAATTATTCCGAGCCCGAGATCGTCCTCATATTCAGTACTGTCGGCCAAATTTACGAGCTGCGACTGATGATGGACTTCTCCGGCACGAACAGAGGGTACTGCTTCATTATGTACACCACCGAGGAAGAGGCAGCTCGCGCCGTGAAGCAATTGGATCGGTACGAGATCTACCCTGGCAAAAGGATCGGCGTGGTGGCTAGTACTAACAATCGTCGACTTTATATCAATCAATTACCTCAGAACCTTGACTCCGAAACTATTATCAGGGTACGTTTTTTACAACATAATATTACGTCGTTGATTTTTTGAACGGAGTGTAGGAAGTGATGCTTAAAATTGTGTACAGTCCACGCTTTAATCGATTCTCATCTATTTCTATAGCGTCAGAATCAAAGCTTCCTGAAGAAGGATAACAAATGGAGTAAAAATTTGTTTCGATTTCAATTTGATTACTGTGATTAATCAATCGTGAAATTATTTATCGACGGAATAAGTTAATAAAGTTCAGCTTCATAAATGTTCCAATGAATTTGCATGTGCATATATTGTTGTTTTTATTTTTATTTTGTGACTTCTTTTTTTTTTTTTTTTTTTTTTTTTGAATAATTTACTTATAAAAGATTCTTCTCTTTTCAGCGCATGTACGAGATAACCGAGGAGGTTGATAGTGTTGCCGTTTATCGAAATATGAGCGGTTACGTAATGTACGTGTTGGTTTCGTACAAAACACATAGAGATGCTGCTATGGGAAGGAGAAGGTTGGTGCCCGCAGCGGCATCCATTTTTGAAAATTGCGATGTGAAGATAGAATGGGCTAATCCAAATATGACTCCTTCCAACGTGGTAGGTATCTGAGTTTGAAGAAAATAGTTTATTTTTATTTGAAAATATTTTAGTGGAAATGATCGATAATATTTATTGCATACTTAATAGTATAACAATAGGATTTTAATAGTAGAGAAAATTGAATCACATACAAGTAAATTTTACCATTTAAAAGTTAAATATTGCGATTGCTAAAATTATTATCGGTAAGTGTTGACCGAGCAAAAAAGCGAGGCAATGACAGAAATCTGACGAAGGGAGGTTAATTTTTGCAAATATGCGCCAGTCGCAATTTACGGTTCTCCTTTCGTGTCTAAAGAACAATGACATCGGTCAGTTATGGTCCCACGTGAAAATGGAACGTGGGTATTTTACCCGGTTGACTTGTCTCTCAGCAAATGGCATTACGATTTGCAAGAATACGCAGGATGCCTTGTACGTAAAGTCCAAGCGATGATCACATTATGAAATCGGTAGAGATCGCGTTCTTGTGATTTATATCTTGATAAATTGTATACAAGAATTATCACACTTTTATTAATGAGAGATATTTGAACGTGATTTCGTCCATTTGAATAAAATATACCTGACTTATCAAATAATTATTATACTTCAGTGATCAAATGTCTTGTAACTTTAATCGAAACAACTTTTATGGATTTTTATTTAGTCAATTAAAATATTTAGAACTCTGGCAAATACTATTCGAGTTTAGTTGTATAGAATAATTCATTGTTTTAATTTTTATTTCGTTTCTAATTCTAGCAAGTAATTTTCAATATTGTATGACGATACGTATTTATCTCCGTTAGTTTTACTCTATCTTCAAGTATTTTCAACCGTTACCTTCAAAAGAAAGTGAATATTAATCGACTAAAGCACCACACTAAGTTTCATTGGTATTAAAAAGATTTGTTTAAAAATTCTTTCTATGAACGTCGGAGTTCCATTCAAAATAAACACGTTACTCTACGCGCGAAGTAAGGTAGTATACGTAGTAAGATAGCATGAATGAAACAGTTCAATGTTTCGCCGACGAGGGGCACTGCGAGTTCCGTGGCGGATTTTAATCTTTAGTGAATGCGCAGCTGCACGTGAGTCGAGTCGATCAGCTGATCGTGTGCTTCGTCGGTCTAACATTTTCGGAGTACGAGTCTGAATTTCGTACGGTTCAAAGATTAACTTAGCAAAAATGAGCGTCTCCAAGGTAGAAAACAGTGAATACAGTGATTATCGTAGTCCTTTAGCGACTCGGTACGCCTCGAAAGAAATGCGATACAACTTTAGTGAGCAACATAAGTTCAGCACGTGGCGGAAACTCTGGGTATACTTGGCCAAGGCGGAGATGGTTCGTAGTTGTGTATTGATTCTCGAACCTTGAATGAATTATCGTAACTAGTTTACATGTATCACGGCTTCTTATCAGATGCATTATTTCTTTTTGTATTGCTAGTATTATTTATTCGCTTATATTTATTACTTATATTTTATTAACAATACGTACTGTTTACGTACTTTCGTTTCCCTTCTTTCCCTTTTAATTGTTGCAGCAGAATTCTATTTTGAGTTATATTTTATTTAAATTGGAGCAACTATAGATTACAGCCACACTAATGGAGTGTATTATTACAGTCACAATAATGGAGTACATTATTATTATATTTTGAATGAAAATTTCAATATTACTCAAGTGCAATTGAACGCATAAATAAACCATTAAAAAATATGGTACATGTTCAAGGGGTGAAAACTACCCTTAAGAGGGTGAATGAAATATTTATTTAATTACATTTCTATTAAGATCGAGAGTACCAGAGTTAGAAAAATGTAAATTTAAAGTTGAATATAAGAAATGTTTATAAATACAAATTATAATTTTAAATTTAAATGAAAATTTTTTTGAATCATAGATCGCGCTATTATATCCAAATATATTTATTATGAAGGTTGTTCCTAATTGTTCTCAAAAATTGTTCGGTATTATAAGATTGTTTACTTATGAATATTACATCTAAGACATCTAACACTTAAAAAATTGAATATTAATGGAAATGAACGATTAAACTATACAACAAGAACCACTGTCATTCCAGCCAATATTTGCAAACACAAAACGTCTCTTCGTCAGACAAAAACTGAAACTACAAAATCAGTAATAAATATTCTAAGCATCGTAACGGAATCGATAAAACTTTCGTTTAATTCGACGCGTACAACACTACGCTGTAAATACTGAAAGGAACCGAGTCACCAAACCCTTCGTTTAATAAATACTTAACGAATTATAGTGGGAAGAAAGCGGAATCTGCGATGAGCACGGCAAGGTAGAAATAAAGAAAAAAATGATCGAGCAAACGAAACCCAAGAAATCCGTACTTCAAACAAAGCATGGAACAACGAACTTGCGATCCCTCAAGACAAACAACAACCGAGGACACAAATCATTCGATGCGACAATCCAAAATCATTCAGCCACGAAATTTCCATCGGAAAACACGAACATCCCTGATCATTCGTTGTATAATTACACGCCTTATAATTGCCTTTCGAAAAGCTTGGCGCTTCGAAAAAGCGCGAATTTCAGCTCCACATCGGCTTGGGACATCAACGGAAACCTCAGAAACAACGTGGATCGTCCATTGTTCCCCAAAAGCTTGAAGAAGAGTTGCTCTCAGCTGAACCAATCAAACGCGATCCTTCCGTCGATCAGTTCGTACTTGAACAGAGCGAGATGCTGCAGGAGTTCGAAATCGAGCGAAGTTCAAGCATGCACAACCGATGAAGCTCGCAGAAAGCTCGATAGCGTTCAGTTCTTCGCCATTAACCTCCCAGAAGCCTCCCATGGCGTGTTCGATCAACGATACATAACAAATTGCCCGATCAAGTGTCGATTGCATAGCGTTGGTAACTCGGGTTTGAATGCGTTGCGTTCAAACAACTTGTATTCTGTCGACCACAGTGGTTGGAACTCTGTGGAGGAATTAGGTTTGAGGATGAACGAAGTTTTCAACGTGACGAACGAAAATTGCAACGGGAATTGCGTCAGCTATGATCCCAGAACCATTTACAGAAACCAGCAGCATATTCCCACAGGAAACAACATCGATACGTCCAGACTAACTAATCTTCAAACCCTGAGCGATTCTAACCGGCAGTTTGTCAACTGCATTTCATGCGCGAATTGTTATCGATGCTTGGGGGTTAATGGAACGAAGCAGAGCAGAACTCCTGTTCCATTTTCTGATCAGTGCAATGGTTTGACGGTTGGCCCTGGGATTCGTCAGCAAGCGAGTTATGGACCCTTCCCTCAGCAGCTTCTTCAGAATGGTCTGAAACCGGGCGTCATGAGTCAACAGTTAGATAGTTGTTACGCTGAGCCTTCGAGCAATCAACAACCCTGCGTGGAAACATGGCGGATTCCTGGATACCGCAATGGGAGTCTAAGAAACTCCAATTATTTGAGCAATCAGGCCACCGATAGTTCTCAGAAGGTGCAAGGTGCCTCTTACGAGGATCGAGTTGATCATTGGTCGCGTTTGAACCCTTCCCTTCCTTATGAGAATCTTTTGAGAGCAATGACCTATCCCAATGGTGTCTTCGTGGAGAATGGACAACAACTTGAACAAAATGCTCAGGATGGTGCCAAGAGTTTCATGAGGCCAATCTTGAAAGGCTCCAATAATGCTAATATCAAAGTGAATTATTGATCTGTGCGGAAAGTTGCTTTTATCCTCGTGTATGAATCGCTGGGTGGCATTACATAAGACTGAGTCGAAGGAAGAGAATCGGTTGGTTGTTTCTCGTCTTGCGATAAGTTGAGCTCATGCGAATAATCAACGGAAATATCGCGACCTCACTGGCTGTGCTTATCTTTGTAAACAAGTCGATTGAGGAACGACAGAAATCTTTTTGATGGAAATTTGCTTAATATTGAGTTAATATTGAGGAGGTGGTTACAAAAGATTTTGCTAATCAGAATTTGAAAGCTTGAAACGATTAGTGATAGACTGTCTTTCATAATCAGTATTCTGCATCTTGTGACAGATTATTCTTTGAGTATACAGGGTAAGAAACTTAGGGCTGACCGTTTGGAAGAACTTATTTGCTTTTGATGAGTGTAAAATATATTTCGAAGTAATTTTGGATTAGTAGTTTTTTTTACATGTGGAAGTGGAAATATAAAGGATATATGAAGGTCGATAGTAAATGCGATAAAAAACTCTTTATAAAAAGACTCCATTTACTCCTTCGTGCTCGTGATATCATTTTATCAATCTACTTTATTATTATTACATCAACTGTGTTTTACTTTTAAAGATTGTGATTCAAGATTAGTACAGTACTTGAGATCATGTTCAGTACGATTTTTCAGCATAATAATAAAACAATTTTTTTCTACTAAATTTAATTAAAATTTTTCTATTTAATTTAAAAATTTCATTGAATTTAGATGTGATCACTGTTAGAAAAAAGGAAGTTGACTTTTGTTGTTTCCATAAACCGAAAGCAAATAAATTTTTCACTTCGTTAGGCTTAGATGTCACACTCGGCATATTTATCATAATTTCTAAACATTTAGTTTAAGTATAGAGAATAAATGGTAGTTACTAATAATCGCGTTACTAAAACGAGACACCTTTCACAAGTCTTGTGTAAACCAAAGTTCCTAATAATTATTAGTAATAATTTTGTAGGATAAAGTAATATTTTATTTTACACCAAAGATCAATAGAGTGTATTAATTAGATAATTGTGTAATCGTTTTCGGCTATTGTTGCAATCGTATTAATCCATTTGTGGATTGAACTTTATATAATTTTATTTTATTTCTTACCGTATTTGCAAGATCGTTTTCAGTTTCCTTTTTCTGAATCCCCTAGGTTTCGGCTCTTTATGATAATATTATAAACCGGCATGTAGACTTTTTAATATCTCGCTTATTATTGCATGTTACTATATTAATCGAATAATTTATACCATCGTGACGAATATTAGCCAAAATAACATAGAATATTAAAGCTTCGACGAAGTTAAAATTTATTACAAACACTGACAACAAGAAAGAGTGCTATTTTACATAATATATTACAATCATTTCAAATATTGTTTTTACGATCAGCGATTTGCCACTTTTTTTTTTAAGAAGCAAATTATGATTTGAAATATGTTGGAGTATAATTGAAGTAATTTGATTAGGTTACTTGTTAATTTTTTCATGTAATAAATTATAGATAAATTACTATGAATTGCTAGTGTGTTAACAATACGATAACTGTTGTATAATAAGATGTTATATCGCATTTTTCATTGCGTGATATATGTTCCTCGCAAGAAAGTATTGACAATAAATTTATATTTATAATTACAGTGTAAATTATTATCGAAAACGAACAAAAAAACTCATACTTTTCCTACAAGCAAACCATTTTCTTAGAGAAATAGAATTATTCAAAATATATATAATCTTAAAGCACTTTAATGCCTTAGTTCTAAAAGTCTAGACAAGTAAGAAATTTTAATAAATATCATATATGGAAAACTTTCTTTATGATCTACGTAACCACAGCCTTTAGGAACACCCTGTGTACACATAGATCTCAGAAGAATCCTAAATAATAATGTTTCGCGTCCACAACTGGTTGCTGACCTGTGTATAGTACAGTAATCATTTTTATATTTTGAGTTTAAAGATACATATCTTAAAAGGTAACCAAACACTTTTTATGTCATTTCGTTATTAATATTGTAGGAAAATTCAGATAAATGTTATTAATAACAAAATGATTATATTTTTTTTACGTTTAGCGGTATATGTATTATTTCCATTTTTTAATTCGCTAAGAATATAGTGAAAGTATAACTGTAATTTAAGTGATTCGACACTTACCCTATTTTGTTGATACTTATGTCATTTCCTTAGTAAATTATGTATCCTCGTAATCTGTCGTTTACCACATTTCGTAAGGATTTATTTCATTACAGCTAAAGGTGCACGTGTTTGTAGTTGACCACATTTCGGACAGCCGGACTTGCTTCGAAACATCTGAATATAAAAACAAGTACAATAACGAATTCTTAAATGATGGACAAATTATATTAACACTGGAACTACCAAATCGGTCAATTTGACGCGCGTATTCCAAATGTCTGTCTAAAGTCACACAGTTATTAATAATAACTTTGGTCTAATGTTTGAGTACCCAAACTTTCAGAAAACAACTACAAGACATTCTAACAACTTCCAAGTAGTTTACACTTAGAAGTGCAAATTATGCATTTGAAAAAAGATTATGAATAATTAACAGTTGCGCAATAAAATATGCGTGCGTTGACCTCTGTAGTTTTAGTGTTAAATATATTTCAAATAAAATTCTTTTTACAGGCGCATCGCTCTGACTGCTTCTCACGCGTAAAAAGTTTCCACAGCCTGCGCATTTCAAACGCTTCTGCTCACTTCCGTCATCTTTGTACAATACCTAAATTAAAATAACTGATAATAGACGTTTATACGTGATATATAGTGATCGTTTAACGTACCTTAATGGTATTCGCAGTAGCACAAAATTCACAATACAGCCTCCCACGTTTATCTTTATATACACTGCAGAATCGATAGGAACTAGAAGCTAGAGGGCCCTATGTGAATTTTGACAGAAATCACGATGTGTTGAATCATTTGCAAATTCGTAATTAGAAATATCGAAGCAGTAATATTTACCTGCAGCCTTTTGCAAGCATAACAAATATTTATATCTTTTTCGTCTATGAAACCTCGCTTTTCTCCTACAAACAATCTCTATAAAATATTTCATTGAAATGTACTATTTATATTAAAGAAAGTAGAAGCAAGCACTATTCATTTATTACATTTTGTCTTTTGGTTTCGAGTCATTTGCAAGACTCGCAATTATGATAATTAAATTTAAAAAATAATTGTATTTCTCTACTGTTTTTTAATAATTTTATATTTCTGAGGTTTGAAAAAGCCATGATACCATGAGTCGAGAGATAATAAATAGTGCATGCTTTGAATCTGCCAAATATTAGCCTATGTTTCTTACACGTACGAGCCTCTCTATTGTATATGATATTGATATTATATATAATAAGTTGATTAGTGAAATGTAAATGTAGGCTTAAAAGGAATGGGATTCCTTATTCATTGTTACGTCTATGTATTAATAAAAACGAATCACAACTTTTCTGTTGATTTCGTTTTGCTCTAGAAATTCATCTTAGGTTTAACAATTTTAAACTTTATTTGCATTTACCTCGAATTCTGATTTACCAGTAGGTAAACCGCTATCGCCATCATCACGGATCAAAGTTTGAACGTTCGTGTCAGCATGCCTAAATATCCACATTTTGATGTATATGGCTACTTACTTTCGTTATAAAATACAATTAATATATCCAACAAAGTAATTTTGTTAATTTTAATTCGTTCCAGTGAACGTATACTCTTGCTTACTTGAATTCACCAGGTTCAACTTTGTTTTTCTTTCGAAGAATGTGAGTTCTCTTTGATTTGGCCAAGGAAGCATCTATGACAGTTCTAGAATGTCATACGTTATCTTGAAACAGTAAGTGAGTGTAATTTTATAAAAATTTGATTTCTATAAGCTGCTTCTAATAAGACAATTACGAAGTTAAGAAGTGAAACTTGTCTATAACGTGTTATTAGTTGAATTGCGACGTTTTTATACTATTCAATTTCTATTCGCGATTTACGAAGTTGGGTAACACATGAAACGAGTTTCAACCCAAGAACCGATAGACAAATAGACCTGCAAAGCAATTTCCGGTTTGCTATAAAATATGCATTGCGGCCAAATGAGATTAGAGACACGCAAAGTTGTTGCACTTTAGAAAGTACACTGCCAAAGTTGGTAGTATTTCTTTGTTTGAATAAATTACTTCATTAATTTTATCAGAAACAAATACATTTAAAGCATTATTTGACTTGTGTTAGGTCTAAAATATATTTGGTAATAATATAGTTTAACCCATTCACTGCCATCTACAAGATGTCTCGTAGTGCAAATTACTCAAATTACTCAACGAAAAAGTTTATAGCCGTTCGAGTCACGAATTACTGCAAAAGAAGATCGTAAGTTTTCTTTTTAAAGCAATAAATTTAATATCACTTTTTATTATCAAAATAATAACTTAGATTACACATCTGTATTAAATCATGGTGCCCATTGCAAAACGCTTTAAATTTGTCTGGCAGTGAGTGGGTTAAAAAGAAATTAATGAATTCTTTTTACAAGAAAGATTTTCGTTTAGCGGTTTAATAATAAACTTGAGGAAATACTCGTGGATAGAATTCAAATTTAGTAATGAAAATTTCCGAGAAAGATCATTTATCATTTTGATGAAAAAATAATGTGTATTAAATAATCGAATAAAAAATCTACCCTTGCGTTCCCGTGTCAGGTTTAGGCTCAGGCAGAGTGCCTTGATCCACCTTTGCGCCATCTTCTTGCTTCGTTACCGAATCGTCGAGCTTCCCGTAGCCGCTTTCGGATTTATCAGTGGAAAAGCTACTCTCTCTGTTCCCCAAATTAAATTCGCTCACAGTTGTAGCATTTGTGACAGGTTTTGTTTCCGATTTCTTTTCGTTTATTTTGGCGAGGACCTCAGGTTTTTGTCCGAAACTCGTTTCATCAGGACTGCTTCGTTTGTCTTTCATTTGATGTTCTGCAGCAGCGTTCACTTCTTCTTCCTTTTTCTCGGGTTCTGGTAATTTTGCCATCGAGTCTTTTATGGTTGTATCCACCTTGGGTTTCGGTTCTTCAGTTGTTACCCCTAATTGGTCCATTTTGCTTCCTTCCAATTCTTTCAAACGATCTATTACCTCCGCCATTTGTTGCACTGGAGATACTGGCTTCTCGTTTGTCGATTCACTTTGTTCTTCTAAAATAGACACTGGTTCCACTGCAGAAAATTCCACGGACTTTCGAAGTCCCTCTTTCTTTGCGGAGGATTTGATTTGTTTCGGTGCAAGAGGACTTATAGATTTCCTCGGTGGAGGTTTAACGGGTTGTTTCGCGGCGTCGTTTGTTGTTTTTGTTTTCTCTCTCTCTGGTATCAAAATTTCGTTTTGTTTCTTCGTGGGCTTCTTTTCTCCCGGTTGTTCCCTTTGAAGCGCGTTCACTTTTGATTTCTTTTCTTCAGACGAGGTAGGCGTGCTTTTGCTGATAATATATTAGGAAAATTTTAGTTTGAGTGCTCACTTTTTTAAATAGGAAAATTGATATAGAAACGTGATATTGTTAATATGTGAAAATTAGGTGGACACTTTTTCGAGACTAAAATATACAAATTTGACGAATCAAGTGGTGAAGATTGTCTTTTTTGTTGGAGATGAAATAAATTGTTTATGTTTTTGAAATCAAAGTAAATGTCTAACTTTATTAGCTCACTCTGTATCTTCTTCAGTAACATTAATTAACCTAAGTAATTCAAAAGAAAACAAACTATAAAGTCCAGATATGAAAAAGAAAAAAATTATACAAAAGAACTACTTCATAATAATATTACTCTGCGTTTCGTAGATCTAACATCCAACGATTTAAGTGGTTTAGCAACTCTTATTCGATATTTTTCAATTAGTAAAAGGAAACGAATTATTCAGATAATCTGCTTCAAATGCCTCACTCTGTACATGTGAAACGATGTGTTTCGAATTGTACAATAAAAAAACCTTACCTTGTCTTCGTATCGTCGCCACCAGTTTGACTCGAATTGTGAGTTTTCTTGCTGGGTGTGACAGAGTAGGATGCAAGCGTGAGCTTAGTGATCGTTCCCGCCATTCCCGTCATTTTTGGCTCTTCGTGTTGTCCACCTTCAAAAAGGCGAACGTCGAAACGTAAGATCTCGGCGAATCAATCGTTCAATGTAAGTCTTAGTCACGCGTAATTAGAGATCTCGACAAATAAATTGCAGTGTTCAGAAAGTCGAAGAAATAATCGTTTAACAACTTTTCAATCGTATATTTGTCACATTTGTTAGAGGTTTTATAATGTTGAAGGTTCACTGCGGTTGTAAGGAAACGCGGTAAGTACGTTACACCGATCGTTGATCGACGATCTTTAACTAAGGTCCAAATAAAGTCAATTGTGTTTCAAGTTATCGCCTGTACTTGCAACCTGATGAACTGGAGCTTTCTCACTCGTCAACATTCCGTAAGATTTTTGGTCCTGTTGCACCCATTTCACTTGATCCTTGGCCGGTTTTTTATCTTGATCCGATCGCTGCGTTTGTTGCTGTTGGCTTTGCTGTGGAACTTGAACTATACCTGCCACGCACCTGCAACTACATTTCAAATAAGATTAAAATCACGAAATTGAATAAATTCAGCTTTTCAGGCCAAGAAATGAACTCGGTTACAAATCTTCTAACACACATTTCACATTCTCTCACATTCCTCCACTTTACCTACTAATACTTCATTTAATCTAAGTTCTAACCTATAACCTTATTTTTGGTCTTTTGCTATCTTTCCTTACTTTCCAATCCTTCTCTTTCTCTTTTTCTCCATCTTCCTTACTTACTCTGCCACCCTCTCGCCCGCCCACCTCTCTATCAACATTTTCTCACATAATTACAAGAATTCTAAGAATTAGAGGCCAATCATTCGAAGCTGTATCAGTAGAATTTTGTGGGGTTGTGCAATCTTCGTACTCACTTGCCGAATTATTACTCAATATATGTATAGCTATTGGTAGAGAGAAAGAAACTCGTGTATTGGGTGAACTATTGCCCTTTATTTTGTTGGATCTCTTGACGAGGTTGTACGAGAACTGACCGGTGTTGCGTCGTATGTTTCTTGAGGAAGACGATCGGGTGTATTCTGAATTGATTTACAAAAGACTGGGTGTGTCGAAAGTAGTACGGAAGAGGGGTGGCTTTACACCCTCGCTGGCAACTACCTGCGGACTCAACGAGACCGAAGGTATCCTTTCGATGGTCACCTTCGCGTCTGGTGACCTGCTGTGGTATATTGCTGTTGCTCGAGGCTGGTAATAAACCAATCCTTAATCTGCGTATTATGCCTGTTACCTGCCGAAAGGTTCGCTGCGCGACTTTCCTAGGTCTATTCGAGGATATTTCAAAAGCATAAAACTGCCTTGAGTCTCTGTTTACGTTTTGTGTAAAGAACAGGCAACTCTTCCGAATTCTATCATTTTCAACGAAAAATTGTTTCTCGAATAAATCAAACTGTATTTGTGACATACCATTCAATTTAATTAATTTCTTTTAGTTTGTGAGTGGAGAAACAGTGGTCTAGATAAAGAAAAAATTAGTATAATAAGTTCATTCACCAGAATGATAAATACACACTAAAATTCAAGTTCATAATACATTGTAGGTAAAACTAGGTGAAAGGGTTGGAACGGTTAGGTTCAACGAATTGATGTTATACAACCTGCTATCGTACTAACTGTTACAATATTATTATTGTATCATGTTAAATTTAAAAAAAGATGATAGGCGAGTCAGTTTGGCATTGTACGCGTTATGTAACTCAATAACTATGATCATAACTCTAGACACTAGGGAGTTCCCAGGCGTACTCTAATGTGGGTCACAGAGGCGTTTATCGTGCGATGAGTCGACACGACGACGTGCAAAGATAGATTTACCGACTTGTACATACATCCTCTTTCCTAAAGACGTAACGACCTGTCGTTCGAGAAATCTTTCTGATAAAAAGTGCACTTTACCCTAACGTTAAACATTAACACCGACATACCGCTATTTTGAGGCTAAAAATGAACAAAGAATTCCCTCAACTGGTCCCTAAGCGACCATTAGATTCCGATTAAGAATTTATCAACATTTCCGAGTACGACAGGCTGTAAAACAACCCCATGAATTTTATAGATTTATAATTTATATGGTTGAGCCATACAATTGAGGCGTACGATTGTCGATGTAGTTCGAAGTGTGACTAATCTGACAATAAGTCCTTACATCTGACCTGTATTAGAATAATCGCCTAAGCAATCGTATCAAAGATAGCCCTGCAAATTATTGCACGATAAACAGTTACGACTGTGACCTCTATAACCGTAATCAAGCTTTCATAGTTTTGCCACTCGTTTCTAGAATACCTTGCGCTAGATTTATCTACTGCACCTTTGCAGTTCCCTTTTTGTCTATAATATAACGCTTCGCTTTGAATAAATTCGTTTTTGTGGTATCGCCGTCTGGTTTCTCCTCAATTTGTATTATTCAGCGACGCGGGATGCTTAAGATGGAATTACTATGCTAACCCTGAACAACACGGCACTCCTCGGATAAGCTGCACGAGAGCAGGGCAGGGAGTGCATGGCGCTGATTGCATTGTAGCTTGGACGTCCGCGGTCGTCGAAAAAATTTGCATTTGTTGATTGCACATCTCGCATCTGCTCACTGTTTGCACTGGAATCTCTTTTACGCTCTGTTGGGTCTGAGAAATTTCTTATAATCATCGGAGTTATCCAGTTCGATAAAATTTTCCAACAGGAGCTTAATGGTTTTTTTTTTCAATAAAATACATCGATCGAGTACCTAACATTGTTCCATACCCAAGGATGTAACAGAAATTTCTTTTTCAAACTATGACAGAATATTCCGTATCAATAATGTTTATCTTTCAAGAAATGCAGAAAAATTGATTTTATTTGTCAATGATAATGTTGTGCCTCCTTAAGTGTCTGACGCTGATTAGTGTACTTTGTTATTGAAAAACAAAATCCTAAAGCTCCCGTTGAAAAATCCCTTGTATAATCAAAAGTGTATCAAAAAGATTAGCGCTAATTGTAAATAGGACTGTTGCATTTGTTAGGTAATTTATATGCATTTAATTTCATGCATTTAAAGACAAATTAATCCTAGTCTAGTGGTGTCCAACAAATCCCAGTCTAACAGAATACAGCGTACGGTATTTTGCAATTACAATATTTATGTTTCCTTGTTGATTAAATTTTGCTCTTGTGACTCACTTGGCTCTCTATGTGGAATGTCCTTCGGGGTTCTGTTTGAACTTCAGCAACGTCGACTTTGGACGCTGATGGAGCACTCGTTGGACAATCGACATACTGCCGTCGACGTCCGTATCCGACTTTTCGGTAAGTGTGGTCAGGAGTCGCACCCTCTTCTCCAGAAGGTATTCTGAGGCTGCTGATGCTAGTCGTCAGGTCGTATTTGACCGTCTAGATTGCAGAGAGACACCTTAAAAGAGACGTTGGTACTCCAGGAACATAGATTACTTCGAATAAATTACGTTAATATTGTTTATTTTTACTGTATATTAATAGTGGTATCGTCGAATTCATTAATGATTCAAAATAGGGGTAGAGAATCTTTTGAGGGGTGGGTGTTACTTCAAAGATTTTTTATTAGACTGCACTTCTCGTATACAATTAAATTTTTACGAAATTCTAATATGAAGTTGGTCGAACGATTACAATTTTTAATTGAAGGCAGTTGTAACTTTCCAGACATTTGTAATATTTATAGATAATAAAGACCTTACACAACAAATTCATACTGTACAGAAGTTTTGAATAGTTCATTTCGCCCATTTTAAATAAATAATGGACTCTCGTTCGTATAATCTTGCAATGAAAATTTAAACAACATTATTACTCTAGCACCTCCTGTTTCGTTGTTGTTATAAAAGAAACAGGTGTTAGTTGTACTTACTTCGCACAAAGGATGACAAAAATTCTTCTTCTGGTACAATATTTCAGCCTGACTCGCGCAACAACACTGGTTGCAGCTTCGTTTCCAAAATCTGTCACACAACACGTGATGCTTCAGCGACATAAATCTTGCAACTACATTATAATAATTAAACGCTTACGCGAGTATCATTGCGGCGTCTATTAAGAAGAGGACTGACAACAGGAGACATAGGCACAGGATTGTCATTATGTACCAAAGTACAGTGGCGGTGTAAACAAATATTAATAAAATTCCAGCAATTCCGAAAAATATTACACCCAGAAAGGAGAGAAGGAACATCTGCAATAAAAATATCCCAATTAGAAAAAGTATTCCAGGAATTGTTCACAAACACATCGTCGGGGCCAGTTTACAGGTAAAATAATCTAATTGTAGATTTCACTGCTCTAGTATGTGTGCAAGATAACTGTGGGTAACTTGTGATATTTTCTGGATGTCTCTAAGAACTTTTTTGAAGTTGGTCTTTATTTCCCCCAAAAGATCACAAATTAGCCACACATTCAACAATGACAAATTAAAAGATATTCTTCTGGGAGGAACTTCTTTATGTAGATGCGTACCGAAACTGCGACCATTTCTCCGCCACTGAACTGGCTGATCATGTCGATCGTCAGTATGAAAACGTAGATCCCCGACAAGACGATAAGTAAAATGCATGTCACAGACGATACTTTCGTGTTCCCAGCCGCAATCGTGTAAATCACAAGCACGAATATTAGTAGCACCACTAGCTAATCACCGAAAATGAATTAATAATATCATTCGTGTATCGTTGACGAAAACGTCATCGCACAAGCAGAAAATGCCAGCATGGTATAGCAACGGTTTATTCAATTTTGCGTTCGATACTCACAAACTGGAATATTCTAAGAGGTCTGATAACCAATCTGACACAAGTGCTAAATCCTTGACCATCCGATTTCGCTTTAAAAGGATTTAAACGTTCGAGCCAATTACTCGTACCTGCTGTGTAGGAATTGCAATTTTTTATCATCCCGTGATATAGCGATAAGAAAAAGTGAAAGATATTTTTTTAATTTGTTAACCTTCGCGTGTCATGGTTCACTTGCTTTTACAGGAAATATGTTTTTATTCCTTTTATATCATCAAACAAACCTCCAAATAATTCATCGAGACTTCAAGTGTCATCCAATTATTTTGTTTTCTGCATCTCGAAGGCTACGGCGTTAAATTGTCACATTCGGATAAATTCTCGACTTATATTCATTTATGATCGACTTTCAGAGGATACGTCGTCAAAATGAAGGAGATGAATTTATTTATGTTAACTAAAAACCATATTTGCCCTTCTTCATTTCTTCTTCGTCATGAGATATTGAATCATTCCGAATTAAACGAAACACCCTTTCTGTAAAAGTCTAAGTTTATAAATAAAATAATTCGTTGCGGATTTTAGAATTAAATATCGAAAGTAGGCTTAAATTTATTTTTATTGGTTTCGTAGAATGCACAATTATATAAAATAACATGAATCGTTTATTTTCCGTAATTCTATTCGTATTATAGTATATGTACGTTATAAAATTTAATTTTCTTTTATATATTTTCTTACGTTCCGTACGTATGGAAATATAATCGTTATGGTAATTTGTTTTAACATACGTCGATGTAGTCCTAATATTAAATTGGACGGAATTGTTTGATAGAGGGACACGTCTAAATCGATAAGCGTATAATCGATTAGAAATTGTTTTTTTTTGTCTTTTTATAGTTACAATTAGTACTTAATAAGAAAAAGTAAAACCATTACTTTAATTAATAATATTCATGGCAATTCTGAGATTGAATTTTACAATCATGTATAACGTATAATACACTAAAGAGGTTGCTAGAAGTAATAAGCTATTTAATTATAGTTTTAATGCACTTAACAGGTTAATCGTATAATCATACGAACTTTGGATCGTAGCATGATGTGAATCAAAATTCATATTACTCTGTGGGTCCTATCATATCCTTAAAATATAGGGTATATTCGATCATGTTTTAAAGATCTTTGGGTGTTAGTTATTAATAAAATTCTTACACTAATGCTAAAGCTATAGAGAACGCATTGCATATAAAAATTGCTAAAAAAGAAAACGATTAAGTAACAGTTTACACAATCTAATATTCTACAATACAATTCAACATATCATTTAATTTGTACATTTTCTAAAAATGCTAATACAAATGCTGTACTCTTCGTTCTTTATGTGACGATACAATAAAATTAACTCTACGTAAGTGCTACTTTTATTTAGATTGGACGGCGACAGGGCTTACACCTAATCTTTGAATATTTGGCTCAAGAATTGGTTTTCAATTGCATACAGATTTTGCTTAAATATATTATAGACTGTCGGTCGGTTTCAGGATTATTTCGTGCTCAATGAAATTTTACGAAATCTTCCTCTGGCATACATCATCTGGAACACATTCGGTGGAAATCTTTTCTGTCTTATTTGTTTCGTTTTCTTCGAAACTCTAAACGCTTCCCTAAACTCTGTTTTTCAATTTTCTCCTCTCGAAGGTCGTGAAAACGATTAGCTATATTATACTAACATGTATCTGACTAACTGTCACTCATGACGCTATCGACTCGGATATTAAAATAATTTAAACGGTACTATTATACGTTTCAGAAATATATATATATGATCATTTATCGCAAAATTCTTTTGGTTTATCCATTTTTACTGGTCATTAGTACGTACATAATTCTCTGGTTGGGTCATTACTGATTTTTCTGCTTTTCGTAAGAGCTACTTCCTTCTTTCCTCTTCACTCCGAGTTCTTCGACGAATACCTTATAGTGAGAATAACTTCGACGATGAAAACCAACGCGTTCACGAATGTGAACACCGCTGCCGATATGAACATGTCCATGTACTGTTTGCTCGGGTAAAATTCGTTGTTGCTGTAGTAAGGGCCGACGATCTTCCTCCAATTATAGACAATAACGCTTCCAGCGACGATGTGTAGAAGCGCGCCCACCGAGGCGAACATTATCAGCTGGAATCAGAGCAGATCAATGTTGCTTCAGAATGTATTCAGATCAATCTGTTACATATTTCAGTCTCTTCGTTACAGTCTAGCCACGCAGCGTGGAGAAAAGCTAACATGAAATAAATGAGGCAAAATATTCATAAAAAAATGATGTGATTTCTTTCCTGGCTCTATTAAAAAACTTAATTTATTGGTTAGTGTAAACGTATACTATTAAAGAAAACGTTTGCGACTTCTATTATCGCAGTCCTCTTCGATATAAAATAATTGCATAATCAGGTTAGAAGTACTTAATAAAGGAACCTGTGGTCATACACATTCATGTTCAATTAGAAATTCCAAAATAATTATTTAAGCATCTCAGGATACAATATTATAATTATAATTATTTATTCATATTTTATAATTAATTTCAAGAATCACACAAAAGATTTATTTATTTATAAGATACAAGAAAACATTTTGTAAATGTTTCTCTTGCAAATTCTCAAGAATTTTTTCCATCGTAAGAAATATGTTTCTAAATAAAAAGAAAATGAGGGTTTGAATTATTCGTAAATAAACTTTTCGACTGAATGTACCGAATACACATTTGTAACGCTAATCGTTAACGCATTGTTCTTAAAAATTGTTTACACCGTAAGGGGGACATGAAGTCGTTCGCTTTCACGACAAAGTCTCTAATTATTCTACGTGTTATCACACCGGTGTGATTTAAACGACAGCAACTGTCGCTATTTCTCGAAATAACGAGTCCTCGATATTATGAGCACATAAACGTCGCAAAAGTAGGTGATTGATAAAACGTATGGGAACCTGAACGTTGATAAGTTATGAATTTTAATCGAACTAGAACGGGACGCATAAGTGTACTTTAAACGTTTCGCTTGAACGTGGCAATTTATACATTTAGAGCAACTGAAAATATGAAAAAATGTTGGAGGGTGTGGAAAAATTCGAAAATATATAAAGTATCAACAACAAAATATATCTTATACTGTTTAAACGATAAGAGATGCTTCCATTTAAATTCCATTTCTTTATCTACATGTATAGAAATGTGAGTTACGAGAATTATCTAGGAAATCAATTAACAAATAAAACAATTATCTAAACCGAGAATTGAAACGTTCAACGTTTAATAAAGTTGAACAGTTGCGTGCAATGCTAATGGTTTTCTTCATTTACTTTCCAACGAAACGGACAAACTCCACCACTACTATTAATTGATATTTCACTGTGATGAGAATAATATTTATGGTGGATATAACAGCAAGCATTATGTCTAATTATCGTAGTAATATTTCAGAGTTTCGTGATAATAACGTGCAACTGATGATGGTTATTAAATTGTACTCAATAAGGTCCGTTTTATGATGCAAACGAGCTAATAATAGTCATTAAACTAGAATTAGTGTAATGACTTAAATTTATTAATCTAAAATGTAATATACTAAATTACAACTACCAGATCACATCGATAATTAGATCGATACAGTTACGTAGTGGTTATTCGTAATTTCCAGTGTCACTTACGAACTCGGAAAACAAGCAAACCTTCATGTGACAGCCTTGAATACTTAATGAGGTCATTCGTGCAACATTTTTTCTATGGACAATACGAATATGAAATACTGTTAGTTTCATAAAACGAAGAGAACGAAATCGATATATACATAGGAGTTAATCTTCCTTCGTCAAAAGCAAGATAAAGTTTCTTTTCTCAAGAAAAGTTGACGAAAAAGTTGCACAGTGATAAATGATTAAAAGAAGTAGCATAAAGCGTAAAACAAACTTCTTCCTTTCCGCTTGAAGGAAAGTTGGTCACGATACCGATCAATAGCAACTACTCCACAAAATAAAAGTTTCTTAGAACTATATATTACAAGGTGAAGATATTATGTAATATTTTATAAACGAGATACGTATCGACAAAATAAATAAAAATATTAAATGAATATCTAATAAAATTTTTAAAAACAATTTCTTCTGATTTTCCGAAGATTCGTCAGTCGTAATTGTTCGTGTAGTTTCAACATCAATAGATAATCATTCTTTGTCTTCAAAAGTGTTTCAGAGCTCAGCTGTTTAGAATTCCATGTTTCATACTTCGAATATGAAGCATTCCTATCCGTAGAAACTAATCACTAACACGATCGAATATTCGCGTATAAATATGAAAGTGAACAATGTATTCGTGTACGTCCGAAGGACGTGACGCATCTGTTAATTATCGAGTGCATGGTATATACGACGACGTCTCAGCTGTGCAAATGGGCTAGGCTTCTGATCGAAACTAGCGAAATGCCAGAAATTTGAGCCTTGCCAGGGCGTATGTCCAAAATACTCAATCTAGGAAGTGAATCTAACACGACACTATTCCTTTTGTGTTCGTCACGCGATCCTTTGGTTGTGTTACTTCGTCAATTTATTATCGTCAGACACGCCATTTAATTTAGTCCCTAGTCGTAGGATTCTGATCCGAAAACTTTCATTTTCCTTTTGCTAGTAAACTACTTTAGACGCATGTTAGGAGTCTTTGCCTGCCTTTGATCAATATTTCATTTCTTGAATTATATACGATATTCAGAACCATTCAATCATTATCGATTGGATTTTTTCGGATTATTCTATCCCTTTGAAGTTATGTTGTTGTTTAGATAATTGGTGAAGTTAAATATGTAAAAATACGTTGGATTTCCGACTCACCGTTCGCTTCGGTATTCTGTCCCCGAGGAAATGGCAAATGATAAAAAGGGAGTTGATTATGATGTAACCGGCGATGGTGGTGTAAATGATCGCAGCATCGTCTAGTTTGAACCTCGATCTGATCAGGATTCGTTGGAACGAGTTGAGTGGATCAACTATTAATCCGATTGCAAATACAGACAGAACCTATCGAAATTGGAAGAAAGTTCATAGTAAGTTTTGCAAAATTGAATATGTAATTTATAAATAAGCAAGATGAACGACGAATTCTTAGACTGTAATTTTTATAAAGAAGTAACACTTAAATACAGTTAGTGTTTAGTAATACTTGATCACGGATTCTATCCATAATAATTCTATTGTACATTTTTCAACAAGGGGGATGATTTACTTACAACTTCCACAATTTTCATGATAAACGGTAAGTGTCTGATTATTTTTCGTTCCTTAGGGACGCGCTGGTCCTGTGGATTTTCGTCTGCCATTCTGACTCGTCGGTGTTTTCCTTTTCCGTCACCCAGTTTGGACGATTTCAGGTTCACCCTTTGTCCGCGATCAATTCTTCCCGCTTTCTAATGGTAGTCCTCTCTCATCGAGCACATCGACCCTAGCGGTGGCAAGTAACGCGATAAACATCAGAATAAACGTAGGAAGGTTGTACGTCACCCCATGAACTGGGGACAAGTGCAGACAGCAAGTGATTTGAATGCGCTGATATACGTTCTTGGCGCCTTCTGTGCTTTCACTTACACATTCGATAGTGATTACATGAATTTTTCTTTGTGTACAAGCGTCGTTCTATATTATTCATATTTCATAGTTCATATTAACTTACAGCAGAATTTTGTTATTGTAATTAATAATGATATGAAATTATATAAAATGTTGTTGTTATTATTATATTCTTATAGTACATATTATATCTATTATATTATACAAAATTAAATATTATATTGAATTATGATATACTCGAGTATAATTCTCAAATTACCAATGTTATGGAAATTACTAATTATATTAATGAATTAATTTGCTTCTTCCCCATCGAATATCGGAGATATAGTAGTATGTTTAACAGATTTGCAGTGTCCTCGGTAGCTGTAACGTTTTTTCCTTTTCTTTTTCATTTACATTAATTGGTATGCATTTTTATTCACTTCCACTTCTGTAATTCCTGAATGACTAACAAAACTTCAACTCACTCGCATTCTTCCTTGAATATTTTACAAAGAATCAATCCGAATGGAACTATGTATCTTTTATCTCTCATATCGTTCTAATTATACGAAACTTTTATTTTTTATTTATATTATGCAATACAGGAATTCTTATTTTCCGAGAGAATTATAATTCTTAGAACACGTACATGCACATTATGCAATCAGTCGTGACTCAATGACACTGTACTCTGCACCTCGTCTCTACAGTGCCATCTCTTTCACTGTGAAAAATTTATATAAATACTATCATCAATTAAAGTCTCAAGATCTAAAAGTTTCACGAACATCGTTCTCATTAACGTAATCTACTTTGCTAAATATACGCATTGTTCGTATTATTAATTCAACAACCAGAACTACCAAACAACTTTGACCAGTGTACACTGAACTATTAACATTAGGTTTACGGAGGTTCAAAGTATCTTCACTACATTCTTTTAACACTTACATCAAATTATATACAATTCTGTTTGTATAATTATACTCTTATAATATATAATTAAATATATGTATAAAATAAAATATTTTCAAAAATTATAATATATAAGAGTATAACTCTTAAACTGCTAATTATGTTGATATTATTTCAAGTAACAATTTGATAGAATAGCCTTAAAAAATTAAAATATTACAAGCTTTCGGACTTAGAGCATTTATTCAAATAAACGTTTCTGACTTTCAAGGGTCCCTTTAGATAGAATTAAAATTGAATATATTTCTTTTTCGATGTTTACTTTTAATGAACTACTTGAAAAAAGTCTCAGACAAATATAAAGTTGTATATATGCCTGTCTCTTTATATAGCTGAACATTACCTTTACTGATTAATGAAAAATGAAAATATCTGTAATTTCCCTTTCGATATTCGCAAACCTATTAATATCGATCCCCACGTTTCCCAATTTTTCTGTTGTTACGACGGTACACACCTTTTTCCACCACGTAATCGCGGGACACGGTCCACGTGCAGCCACTCTGTTAGATCCCCGAAGATCCTTCCTGCTCACGTGTTCACCGAATCGTATCGAAAAACCTTGTTATTGACACTTGTCTGTCAAGTTCTCGACCAAGAGAATGCCACCAAGTTTTATTCAATGTTATTGCAATCGAGGCGATTCACCAGAACGCGGAATTTCCGTCGAATCGATCGATACGATCGCGTCGGATCGACTAGCGGAGGACGTGTCGCGACAGGTGGTCAATCACGCTGATCGTCGCTGAACGATGCGGAATCGAGCGTAAACCGTGCAGTTCCACACTGTGCCGCGGTACAACTTAAACTGGAACGCCAAGCATGATACAGACCGTGCCTACGTCGTAACGTGCAAGTTGCGCAGGCGGTTTGCTGGCTTTGTTAGCCAGGTTCACCGTATGACCATGTCGTACTCACTTAGGTACGATTGTGTCACTGGCGCGCAATTTTTGCGAAAAAGGGTCGCGTGCGCCCTCTTCCACGAGTCCCGCCTCACTCGCTGTTCCGCAGTAGAGTGAATCCACTGTCATCGAGGATTCTTCGTTCATGTTCCATTCTGTAACACAAATTGTTGATATGAATTTATGTGGAAGAGTTGTGGGATGTCTTGAAAATTGACTGTGGGTAGTAGGCGATATTACATCTTTGATGTTTGATTCAGAAGACTCGAGATAGAAATATGTACTTTCTTGAGGAAAAGTAGGATAGTTTAGAAGATTTGAGAAATTTTGTAATTCGGTGACCGTTGAGGAATGTTTAAAAATTGAGATATTATCTATGAGACTACAAGAGAAATAGTATAAAAGAAAATAATATTTTGAAATTGAGAAATTATACTTCATGAAGCAATTCATTGTACTTCTCAACTTTTCACGTATCAGTACTCGTGCTTCCTTTCTTGTTCGATGCAGGTAAATCCGACGTAGCCAAAACAACTCACGGAATCACGCGAGCTGCGGATTTCGAAAAAGTCGCGTAATTGGAGCCTGGAACGAAGGGCGAGGTGACCGAGGGATTTAATTCACGGGCACGTGCTGTTGGTGCGTCGAAAAGCATGCATCGGAACATGTTGGACCTCACGTGACTCACGGTGTATAATTTGCGTGGTCGTATTGCGGATGTATACACGTGCAAAACCTTGGAGCACAGGCCGGCACGGCGTCTTGTTTAAACATGCATGGACGAAAGTAGGATTGAGTCGAGAGCACCCGCAAAAGCGACACAAATTTTCTTGCTTAACTTCCCTCATGCCGATTCTCTTTTTATGGACAAACAAACTATTTGCTCGCCTCAAATTATTCTGGGTGTGATATTGTGTTTGTGTATTTCTAATATGTACTCTAATTAAAAAATAACGAAATACAAGTGAATTTGTATCGCGATAATACAGTGGGTGTAGTAAGTATTCAAAAAGTCCATAAAGTCTAGAAATTCTGAAGGGATATGATCAATTTTGGGATAGCATGTACCCTCGTCCTCGAGTTCCATTATTGTTGAACAATGTTGCAAAATAAGTGATTGCTGTTCCTTCCTTGATTCCACGCAGTGTAACGTTTTTCACACGTGCCGTATTCTCTTCTCTTCTACAAATATTTATTGTCGTGGAGTGACATTTTTCCACGAGCATTTGTATCTATTGTGACGAAACATAATATCGAGACTTTCAATTAGTTTTTCCTTTGGAGGAGTGATTAAACTCGAAAGAATTAAAATATATTTTTTTATACTTAAAGAAGTATTAAAGTTTGATCACAATTACTCTGGAGAATTTTGTTTCAAAACAAAAACATGTAGGTGGTAATTGCTCTGAGTTATAAATTACTCAAGCCAGTTATTTTTATTAACAATGCATGAAATAATTAATGAAAGGAATTGTTGAAACGATGCTTAGATAGTACAATTTAATTTTGCTTGAATTGGAATGGTTATTTTCACTTCAATAATTGTAGGTACTAATTCGTTAATAAAAAAATTGTTAATAAAGAAATTGTGAGTAGAATTTTATATACGTTAGTTCATTGCACAACAATTGACAAAGTATGTTACAGAAAGTTGTAGCGCTTCGACCATGACATCGCAAACGTATCGCAGTCTAAATATTTTAATGGTTAAAAATATGTCAGTAATTCAGTACGTATGATAATTATGGATCAAGTACAAGTCAGCCTCGGGAAAACCTATCTTCTTATATCCGATATCGACCATGAGTTTATAAGTACAGAGTATAATTTCGTGACGAATAATGAGGGCACGCTTGCTGCATATGAAACTTCTATGATTTTCATTTGCGTTACGTCGTTGCAACCAATTTTTGTCTTGACAGGTGTGAAATTCAATTCTAAATTTGACAAATAATTACTGTGAAATGTAAATATTAAATTCTGCTAAAATGCATTAAGATTGTGTATTCTTTATTTCGTAAGAATACATGTAGCAACTGTTTTTTAAGGTCTTCAATAGAGAATGAAAATATCATTTTGAAAATTTTGAAATGTTCAACATTAATCGAGACAGAGAATCTTTGTTATTAATAATCATAAATATATTTAGTATTTTGGAGTGCAGTACACAACAAATAAATATTAATTTTAAAAATACCAATAATTTGTTATTTAATGGATTGAGAAATCACTTCTATAGGCCAATGGCACATTAAAAAAAAAAAAAAAAAAAACTATCAAAGCATAATAAGCGATTTTAACTAGCACGACTCGTAGTAGCATTATTTTCTAATTGCGTAACAGCCTAAGCACTTCGCTACTCCTGTTACAGAAAAACAATTCTACGTGCACGTATTGTAACGAAACACACTCGTTCATACAAATGTGATCTGTGACTACTATCGCATTCATGAACGTGCGTACGAAAGATCACATGTGCACTGGGTCAGTAGGTGCGGCCTGATCTTCAACGATGATCTTCCTACCGTGAACTACGCATGGTAGCACATTGCTTTCCGTTTCAAACAAGTCATCATCGAAATGTTTTAATTATTTCATTGTTCTCAAACTCTTTCTCAAATGATTACATTCTTTACTTTACACGTAATACTTCTTATGAAAAGAGATTTTGCTTTTTGTGTCCACTTATTATGAGTAACAGTAACGAAAAAAATTACATTTCTTGTTTTCCCAATTTTTAACGTAACATGACAATTTACATACTGATAAAATACTTATAATTGTATTAAATAACAGTTAATTTTGTATTTGTTGCTCAAGAAAGCAAAATAATATACAAATAATATAGAGATTTTGTGTTCATCTAGGACCTCAAAATTCTTTGTTAGGTTAATCTTACCGTTCTTCCGTGAAAAGACACAAATGTAAAGTATAATCAGTAATTGAAAATGAAAACAATTCTAAACGATCACGTTTTACTCGCTTTTTTCTGGTTAGTTAAAGAGCCTAGGTTTTCAAGTCGAGCCTGAAAAGGTTAAATTACCGCCAGCGCTCGTAATTAACGTGATTATGTATCCGGATCGTGGGTGTGGGATTGTACCGGTCATTCACGATGATTACGAGGTCAAGTAGACTAATTGATGCATATCGTGGTCGCTTTGTGACCCTCCTCAAGCTTGCTCCCTCGTAGATTGGGAAAAAAGCATGATAGCTTCGTTTAAGTATCGTATATGCTCTCTTCTTTCGACCGACTATCGAATTCTTTGACTACTATTTATAGTGAATTGTTTTTTATTTTTTTTTATCATACTTCGTCGAAAGCTTCAATTTTTTCTAAATTTTGTTTATTTACAATGCTTTACTAATGCTATGTTACATGAATCTCTTTGAAAAGAATATGTGTTACTGATTTTCATTTGATGACGAATGCTGTTGAATAGAACGATGAACCACAACAGCAAACATGGACACAGAATTAACTATTAAGGTGATCATAAGGACGAACTCGGAGAAACTGAAAGAGGATTATTTTATCAAACGAGTCTGAGTAATGATCCTAAAGAACATTGTTGATCTTTCTTAGATTCAGGAAGAATTATACAAATTTAAACTTGCAGAAAAAGAAAAATAAGTAAAATAAATAATTTAGTCCATTCATGTACATATTTCTCTTTAATTTTTGTTTGTTATTTTTTTTCATCTTTCTCACAATTTTCCTTTGACTACTTTTAAAATTTACAAATGAGATTAACAAATAATCAATAGTGCTATCGAGTCGCAAATTATCAACCTGAATGTTTGTTACAGGTGTAATCAACTATTTCAAGAAAATAATAATGATTATTTCTACTTCGAATTCTTTTTTTTTTTAACGTACTTATGGTCGGCGTCACGATCACTGAAGGTGTCAATTACCCACAAGATCCACTTGTACAATTCATAGATGCCACATATCATGCTACCGACTGCGCCAATCGCAGCGAGGCATATTTCCTTAATGAACATATACCAAATACTTTTAAACTTTACGTCTCTCGATAGGGAATTTTTGATGCGCTAATTTATTCCTTACGTTTTCACTTAACTCACGAGAAAAATATATTCCTTGTGCGCGAATAGCACGAAAATGTCAGAGGAATTTATAATGATGTAACCAGTTAGAAAAGTGGGCACCAGAATTCCAAAACATGGATGTTCCAAATATGACTCCAGTGGGCTGCAGTATACTGCGGTGCCAACTATGCAAGCTGACTGCAAACGTATTAATAAATAGCGAAAATTAGTCGCAGATTCACATATCGTTAAATATTTCTTTTAATAAATTCATTTTTCATTTTCATAGTGAAACATATTTGATACAAACTAGATTTCTGTATATTTTATATGGTACCTACATCAGAGTGAAGGATATTTTATTTTTTTTTATTATACTTCGTCGAAAGCTTCAATTTTTTCTAAATTTTGTTTATTTACAATGCTTTACTAATGCTACGTTACATGAATCTCTTTGAAAAGAATATGTGTTACTGATTTTGATACAAGAAACTTTATTATTAGCCATGAATTTATAGTATATAGTATATTTATAGTATATATAGTATATATATAAGTATAACTTATAATCATATACTATAAATTCATGGCTAATAATAAAGTTTCTTGTATCAAATGCTAAAATGTATAAAAATCATTCAAAATGTGTTGTCCTTCTTTTCGAATTGTTCTTACAGTTAAAATATAATTTATTAACTTTGATCAATCTATGAAGTGATAGACTCTTTTCTAAAATTGCTATGCGACAGTTAAAGTACAATTTCTTAATTTCTATAATAGTTAAAATCTCCTCAATTATCTAATATTGAAATTATAAGAAAGAATTTGCAAACTGATAAAGTAAATCTTTCAAAATCTGAAATCCACAATCCAAAACAAACCAGGGACAATGTTTTCCATATCAACAATGTCTTGTCAACATTCCACGTCCTCAACCCCCAACCGTGGAAAGGTATCAGTATATTTCCCATTTCTTTTTCGGTGGACACAAATTTGACGAACCCGCGATATCTACAGAATCTTTGATAGTCGAGATCAACACGCAACTCAGTGACATTTTTTTTTTTTTTCAAATGTTTCCTTTACGTCTGAACATGCTGAATACTTCAACGTTCAGAATGCCGATTATTTTCTATCGATTGGATCGATTAATAAGACTGACGCGTCACCGTTTCTGCCCAAAAGAAAGATAACTTTATAAAAGTGATCGTTGGGCAACAATTAAAAAATGAAGGGACTCGGTAAACTCATCACGGATATTAATTTCATTTTGAGATTGATCGAATTCGTAAGCGAGTTTAACATTGGTCAAAATGTGTAGAATGTTTAGAGACCTTTTAAACTTCTTTTTTGCGTTTGGTTATGTTACTTAGGTACTGTGTCTCCTGGGAATAATTTTCTATACCGAACGTTTTGTGTTTCTGATGGTGCTCTCCTTCCATGGGTGGCTATATTTGTCTTTTTTCTATGTCGTATCTTACGTGTGCGAGGAACCGGATGTGTGGGTGGTATGGACGTAAATTTAATTATGTAATTCAATCCTGTTTCTTTAGATTGCCTCGACTGCCTCACTGGTGATTTGAACAGTTACGATATTTGACATTGTTCTTTAGTGCAACTTTATTCTTACTTTTCTATTAAATCGTGTATCGCATTAATCTAAGAGAATAGAGTCAATAGTATGAAAGTTGAATTCCACATAGATATATACTAGTAAAACTATATATAAGAACAACATGAATGAGTAAAGAGTAATTTATTCGCACTGTTCTTCTATGCAGTTTGAGTTTTAATTTTTCATTCAAACAATTATGACAAGAAAATTTCTTTCGTAGTTTTCCTTGACCTTGTATATTATATTTTCTTGTTTGTATAAAGAAGTTTGTATAAAGAAGCTTCTAATTGTTATGATTTATTTAAGTCACACTGAAGGAAATCTAAACTATATTGACTATGAAAACTACATTTTTTATTTAACTCCCTTATTTCTTATTTATTCTCTCATTTTTTCTGGAGCTGTATTTTATTCTGTTTAATTTCACTACTGGAACTAACCACGTGACTAACTTTACAGGAAGTTCTGGCTCTCGGAATGTACACCGTTCTCATGTTAATCAATGGTATTTTGGAGTCGTCGACACTTTGCATTATGCCTTTCGCATTAGGTAACGGAACAAAAATTTAATGCGCCCGGATATGATGTCATAACAACGACAATTCACTTACCCAGTTACAAATGCAACGCCAAATTTAACCACACGATTTTGATGTTTTCAGCTGGTTTATTATTCGCAGACTTGGTGGTCCTTATCGTAGTCAAACGCTAAGTAAGAAGATCAAAATACTAAACCATACGGAAAATGGACCTGTTTCTATTAAACATTAAGCTAGTTCTCGAATTGTGCAATTTTTATGCGAGCCATAATTTAACGTAAATGGGCGTTACAAATGTTGCTTGACATCTTCGTTATAACTGTACGAGGAAAGTAAAGACATATGAATGAAGAACGTTTATTCAATTATCGTTTGCGTTTACAGTGGCAGCAGTCGCTCGGTTGGCTTTCCTTATGTTTGCGTATTCCACGCAAGCCATGTAGGTTGTTTCGCAAAATAATATTATGAAATTCGCTGGAAAATATAAAATAATTCATTGCTCAGAGGAAGTAATTAAGATATACCCATAATCAAGTTTGTATAGATGAAAAATTATTAAATGTATCGTTTGGAAAAATATAGACTATTATTTATTTATTACAAAGAGATTCATTTAAACGCGCACCTAACAGCAGGAGCCCAATTTTAAGTTCACTGCGATTTGCTTCGTGATCTGCCAAAGTTGTATCGTGAGCCCTTTGAACCCCTGCTATTCCACCTATCAAATTGAAGATCACTCCTATTGAGAAGTACGTGAATTCCTAGAATCGAATTGAGAAACGACTACAGGAGTTAATAAAATAACGTATTTTATCGATGATGTTTTACTATAATAAAAAATTCTTATTGCCCTTAGTACATTTAGAAAACGAGAAATAGGCGAAACAATATGTCAAATAGGTTATTCTAGCATGGAAAAGATGTTCAACGTATTCTTGTACATATAGAAATTTATAATTTAAACAATTTGTATTTAGTAGATGCAAAGATGACTCGAACCTGTGAGTCGAAACGTTGTATTAAATGACGATTATATTGAGACTAACAAATAGCGATCTTTACCTCTTTTATACTTAATTCTGCATTGATAAACTCTTTTTTACCTAGGAAACTTTAATACTAGCTGTAGATCCAATAAGAAAAATATCGACTACCTCGTTCGAGTTGCCGAACCTCTAAATGATTTTGAACAGTGTACAAGCATGGAAAGAGATCAAGTTAGTACAATTAAAAATACGTGAATTTCTGTTTAAACTAACTGGTAGTTTGCGTGGCTTCTCAAACACATGTGTCATCGCGATAGAAAAATAGATGATAGAGTACGTCGACGAGTCGATGCAATAAATAATCCAGAGCCATCTTGGTATCAGATACTCGCTATATTTCGAGAGTTCCCTGAGGCAAATGACAGCTATAATCTAAACAACCAACAAACAGTTATGAAATTGTGAAAATACGCGCAACTATGATAAGAGGATTTATTTTACCAGCTCCAGGACTTTCAAGAGGAAGCTGAAGTCTCTCAGAAGCCGACGTGCAAATTCGAACATGTTTATTGATCTAATCATCAACTGCCTCGAGTTTCGAAAGCCAAATGGCCGAATATCGCCGATGATCTTTGCAATTTTCGGCCATACAATATATCGATTAGGTTGAAAAGTGATACTTTCACTCATTCGTTGAACATTATATATTATTCTTGCAATTACAAGAAGTTATTATTATTTTTTTTTTTATCACATTGGCTTAAATTATTTGTTTAGTTTATTTCGAAATGCAGAAGATACATTTTAATATTATCATTCTCGTCGTTTTAATTGGAAATTTTAATCGCCTACGGTTTGCCTCGATCTGCCTGAACTTTTCATGAAGCCTGGGCTCTTTCCTAAGGCTTGCATTATAAGCAGAATGAAGTCGATGATGAGTAGTACGAGCGCCACTGTTAAAGGAGAATGGAAATAGAGGAGTTTGCCATTGTTTGACACAGTTTATACCGGCGTAAAAGTAAATAGCAACGGGTATATGTACTTACCCAGGGTCATTACAATGAAAACTACATATTTGTAATGCTCGTATCCTAAAAAGCCGATGTTATTAATGCATTAATATCTTACAATTGTAAATTCAATGGATTATAGTAAACTTACTATGTACTATGTACATCGATTCGTCGTAGCGGACGTAAGAAATAATCGTAAAGATCATCATAACTATCGATGCACCCACTATTAAAGTTTCCTGGATGGAAAAAACAAAATCAATTAAAACAACAATTTTATATGAAATATATATTAAAATTATGAAGAAAATTGTGCATACGACGAAATTTAATTAAAGTTCAATATTTAGTTACTATATACTATATATTTTACAAGTTTCATTCAATATTAAATCAACGATAATTAATTTTATGTGTATGTACGTATAATTTTCTTCAATAAAAAGTTTATAAAAGACTGTTATCACAATGTAGTTTTTCCTTGGAAAAACTATTCAACGTGATGTTTTACATATGTGATCTTCTAATTGTACAAATTTGCATTCTAATGATAGTAACTGTAAGTCTGAAGATTACTCAATTCACAAGTTGAAACATTTATAAGAAATGACGATAACATTGAGATAGTCAAATGATTTAAAAAAAAAAAAAAATTTTTTTTCAATATGATTCCTCCAAGTACTCTCATACTTTTTCAGTATATTATACTAACTGTTTGACAGATCAAAAATTCTTGTATATTTTAGTAGAATGTTTTATTCAGAAAGCTAGAAACAGAACAAAAGATCGATCAAAATATAAGTTTTAATGTGAAATTGTAAGATTCAATTACCAGAATCGGAGTTGAGTCGAACCAGGTGTATCCATACAAAACGATTACTAAATATGAAAGAGCGATCAAGTAATATCCTTCTAAATAAGCGTAACGATAGTATTGTTTCGTGGTCACATCGAAGACTAAAAATTCCACGAGCACCATGAGGCACTAAAAGAATAGGAACTTTATTAATTATATTGCTTTCAATGATGTATCAATTTAATAAAATTCAACTTACAACTACTATAAATTTTAAAACGTAGTGGACGTTTGTCCAGAGCTCTATGCATGCTCGACCCATTCTTGCACTTCAAACTTGTTTATATTTTACTTTAAAGTTCTTCTTAATATTATTAATATTATTAATATTCTGAACGATCTTCTTGATATCGTAAAATTAACGTGCATGTACACCATGAAATTATCGACAGATTGTTTGCATTTGTTTCAAATCGATAATACCTCTCGATGATCAGGTATGAGTTCTTAATGGAGGCAAAACAGTACAAATTTAAAATATTAAAATTGAAAGTTTATCGTTCAAATTGTTGTTTTCAAAGTGGATACATTTGGTGCTTGAAGAGTCAAGTGAAGTGTAAAAAAAAACGTTTATGAGAAGTTTGTGTATCGTACATAAGGAAAATATGATGATAACGATATAAAAATTATTTATTAATTCCTATATTTAGTAATACATCTTACTGATAATACAACTAGAAAATGTTGTATCGTGTGTCGTTACATGTGTCGCACGAGTTGCTTGTTAATAGCGTTACGAATACGTCAGAATGTGTTCGTGAAGGTTTATGTCATTTAGAATGAACAGTTTACTTTAAGCTGAGAAATTAAACAATTGTATAAACGGACTTGGACTCCGATAATCATTAATTAACTAACATTTCGATGTCTACCACTGGATGAGTTGTTACATACACATGAAGAATACTTTAAAAGAATTGTCAATGCAATAACGAAAGGTTTTACTATCAATTCCTGTTTGTGATGTAGACTTCACTGTTTGGAATCAGGCGTGACGAGATGATACTTAAGCGTTACGTGACTATTCTAATACTCATCGCGGGCTTTCGCGAAATGCAGAAAGCTCAGTATCAGATCCACGAGGTATGCGGCACCTTCGATGACACATAATGATCCAACAGCTAGACCCGCCTGAAAAATTAAATAGATTTAATGCAACTGGTACAAGCTATGTAGAATACAAATGTACGAACGTGAAATAAAATCAAATCGAAATGTTACCAAAGAGGAGAATAATCGACACAGTTATATTGAACTCTTAGATTGCAAGCTTCATAACGTTAGTTTTCTCTAAGCCCTTTTAATCTTATCGTTTCTTGACGATCACACGTTTCACACTAGCGATCTTTTATTACCTGTCTTTCCTGAACGATGGCATCGAATTTATGTTCTGATTGGTAACCGTGCCAATAGTGAAGCGCCGTACCACCCACAGCAATAAACATAAAGGTTCCAACGAAGTTCATTATAATTTCCTGAAAAATAACGCTTTTTTAGAAGTCGTCAAAAATTAATATTCGGTACCGGTACATAAATTTTTTATTCAATTAATGAAATATTGTGCTCTGCAAATACTGATAATTTACATACAATTTTTTCTATCGATTTCATAAATAAAAATTACGTTCAACAAAATTGTAATTAAATATTAATTATTATTTTTGTTAGTAGTAACTCAAAGGATCATATTCTTGGACATCTAAAAGAAACGAGACAAATACAGTCAACACTGCAATTATGTCAAATATACGTTATGCATGAATTACATGCATTAAAAAACAAGGTTGCAGTAATCGAAACGTTGCACGGCAGCGTTGTTAATGGAGATTTGCATTTTAGAAAAATTCGAATAAAAGTTTGTATATAAATAATTCAAAATTTCGTCTTACAACAAGTGTTTTCTTATGGTTCAGGACCCCAAAGCAGTAACTGATGAGAACTACGCTGGTGTAGATGAAGAATCCCACCAAAACGCCAGAAGCAACGATTTCTGCGTCTGGATTTTTGTCTTCGTTCAAATTCCATGTTCCTCCGACTCCCAGGAATTCCCCATTGTATCCTACTCGGTACAGGATCAGGATAATGAAATTAATAACCTGAAAAGTTAAATAAGAGTAGAGTGACGAACGAGAAACATTAGAAATCAAACATCATATTTCTAACTCGAATCTATTATTTTTAGCTTTTAATATTTCCAGATGAGATATAGTTCTCTCAAACCCTCTATAACATAAATTGTGCGAGACGTATATATTAATTCTGTGGCTTTCTAAAGCAAACATATCATTATCATGTTCAATAGAGGGTTAATACAAAGGGTAAACGTGGCACGACATACTTTTACAGATTAACACCTGATATTTCCGGAAATCAAACGTAATAAGAATCTTAGAAGCAGACGTACGTGTTAATTTCTGATAATGTTGACATTTTAGCTCGAATAAATTGTTAGGAAAATTTGACTCTAGCAAGATGTAGCACGCTCATATCGCAATACCGTACCTACATGGAGAAGGGCGTCATATCGCTTTGCAAACAAAGTTCCTTATCGTACACCGATAAGGACCGAAATGAATCATAGAATCGTGTACAAATGCTTCTTGAATGAGTCTAGTTACGATGATTTATCGACGCAGGTATTGCACTAATTGCCGGAAATTGGCACAATGTGTCACCTGGTCGAAATATAACCGAATCTTGATCAGATTAATACAAAGGATAATCGTGATTGTTATTTAAATTGCTGTGAAATCTTCACGTCACTATCAATAATTTTTTCGTAGCATGGTATCGCCGTAAGATAACTCGAGGCAACAAATATTTTCAATCGTTTGTCGATACAAAATATTTCATGTTTAAATAACGTTGATGCAGTTCTAGAATTTAACAGTGACCTGATATTTACTTTCACTTTTGTATTTTAATATGAACGAACAACAATTGTCTTTCTGCACAAAGTATTTTTATATTGGTGCTCAAACAAATTCGATTTCTATTTCGGAGAAATATTTTACTTTTGACATTAGAGCTACGAAGTAAAGAAATTTTATTCGTGTTAGACGAAGTTCTTTTTAAAATTAATCAATTGTTAACAACACTTTTGCTACTATTTTTAGTATTAATTATTAGAAAAGAATTCAAACTAATTATATCGATGAATTGCATATTTTCCCTCTAATTAATAATAATTAATACATGGTAGTTTGATTAACAGGCATGTCCTCCAAAGATTTAATATCGATTACCAAATTTTTTTCTGACGTGATTGATAGGTACTATAATTAAGCAGAAAAAATTAGTCACAATACACAATGTACTTTTGTATATAGGCTACAATGTTAATGAAATCACTATTCTAGCCAAGATAAGCATTCTATACGTTAACAGGATTATTGTACAGTCTATCATCTTCTAATTTTTCCTTCTAATCATTTCTATCTAATTTTCACGATAATAATTTCCTCACTATTCGTTATTTAATGCCGATGCGTTGATTTTTGAACATAAAACTAATACTCCTCGCTGCCTAATCACTAACTGACACATTTTGAACAATTTCAATCGAATTACGAATTATCGACGAAACATTTTGTTAATTAAACATGAATAGATGTAGAATCCCTCTCACCAACTTGAGAACTTTTATCACTATACTCGCAACAGTCTCTAGGGACACCATGTCTACACTTTTGTAAAATGTACTTTTCACAGTGGAAACGTGCGCACGGAATGAAATTCACGGTGTTTCGAATGCCTTCGACCCAGTACCAAGCCCTCTTTATCTAATCAGATGATACAGCGTACGCTGAAAGAGGGATAAGAAGTATAGAAAGCACCTGTACATTTATTGTATTATCTCCAGCGATAATTCAACTCGATGCCATCGAAATATCCAACGTTTGTTGTTATTCACGTAACCCAGAATGGATTCTTCCTGATTTATGTAGTTGATGTCGACGACAGTTTGATAGCATCGATGCAGTTTTCATTGTCTCGATATCTACGGCAATATCTTTCTGATTATTTTTGTCAAATTTCTTTGACTCCGTTCGATTAAAATGCATTGCCACACTTTAATGTAACAAAATATTTCTTTCTTTTATTGAATATTCACCTCAAGTTTCTAAAACCTTATGGAACATCGAATAAACAAAAATTATTTCATGAAGTATCATAATATGCATTTCTATTTTTATATAAAATCTATACTAGAAAAAAATACAAGAAAATAATCGAGTTATAAGCATGATTTGAACTATATTTTTAGGAAGTTTCAAAATTATTTTGTAGTAAATTTTCACAAGAAAAATAGACATCTTACATAAAAATAAATAATATCGCCTAGACAAATATACATTCAACAAATATATTCCCTTATTTGTCTACAACTAGATAATATAAACTTGTTCATTAAATGATTTTAGGAGTTGGGCTTAGCTATTACTCCAGAACAAATAGCTGAAATGGAGTCTCACATTGACGACATCGACTTTGAAGCCGCTGCAAAAGAAGAAAAGGCAACGAGACACGACGTTATGGCTCACGTTCATGTTTTTGGAAATCAGTGCATGACAGCTGCTCCCATCATCCATTTGGGCGCAACCAGTTGCTATGTCGGAGATAATACGGTAAATTTTAACGTATATTATCCAAACAATTTTTTAATGTAATATATTTATAGTTGTTAATAGATTTCTCATAAAAGAAAAACCTTCAACTATTATTGCAAGAATTTCTCATCAAATGGTTTTCCAGATAATTTAATTTAACGTTATAAAAAAAATTAATATAAAGTCAACCGTCTTGTTCCGATTCTCTTCAGTATATTCAGTTATATATTTCTATTTTCTTTGACGCTTACTTCCTTGATTATTATCACAATTAGCTCACCTTCGTTATACCTTCACAATGATCGTTCCTGGTGTTTTATTTAATATTTACTTACTGAATAACAATTATGTTTCTTTCATAGGATCTAATAATCCTTCGTAATGGATTCGACATATTGTTGCCAAAATTGGCGACAGTTCTATCACGTCTGGCGGAATTCGCTTTGACGTATTTCGATTTACCGACGCTGGGATTCACTCACCTCCAACCAGCTCAATTAACAACTGTTGGTAAACGAGCGTCCCTCTGGCTTCATGATCTCTTGTTAGACGAGAGAGCTCTTCGACGTGCTAGGAATGATCTCAAATTCCGCGGAGTGAAGGGCACCACTGGCACTCAGGCTTCATTTCTTCAATTGTTTAACGGTGAGTATACATCATAGATAAATAAACGACATTTTAAATATCGTGTTCAGCTCTCTATCTGTTCAAGTAATTTTCTTTTATTAAAAAGCATTGTTAAACAATTGAACTTATGATCTATAAGATATTCGGAGAAGAGCTTAGACTTAAAGTCTTCAAGTTGGAAAACATCGTCTTTATTAGAATTATACCTCGAATTTTCTTCATTTTATCTGATTTATTTATTTTATCAGGTGACGAAGAAAAAGTGAAGCAATTAGATCGCTTGGTGACCAAATCGGCTGGCTTTGAGAAACACTACCCTGTAACAGGACAGACTTACAGCAGGAAAGTTGACGTGGAGTGTTTGAATACCCTGAGTTCTTTGGGTTCGACTGTTCATAAAGTAATTTCATATTCCGTTTTTATTTTTTTCTAGAAATTAAAAAACCAGGTCAGGGTTGATGGACCACAGGCTTAATAATTCTAAGTAGAACTTAGATCTTAGATTATTAATAAACATTTGTTTAATTTTTTAGATTTGCAGCGACATCAGACTTCTAGCAAACATGAAGGAAATCGAGGAGCCCTTCGAAACTACCCAAATAGGGTCCAGCGCCATGCCCTATAAAAGGAACCCGATGCGTTCCGAGAGGTGTTGCAGTATAGCCCGTCATTTGATGACATTGGCCAACAACGCTCTGCAGACGGCCGCGACACAATGGTTGGAAAGGACACTCGATGACTCGGCGAATAGAAGGATCACTTTGTCAGAGGCGTTCTTGTCGGCCGACGTGATTCTGATGACCCTTCAGAATATCACAGAGGGCCTCGTTGTTTACCCCAAGGTCATTGCCAGGCACGTGGCCCAAGAGCTGCCATTCATGACCGCGGAAAACGTAATAATGGCGATGGTGAAGGCTGGCGGCGACCGACAGGTAAATATACAGAATATAATTACTAGAATTATTGGAAAATATCATTTTACTATTGACCAAGATTTTGTATCTAACATAAAAATGGGTTTCATGTGTGAAAACGTGAGTTTTTCTCACCTCCTACACTTTTACACACGAGATTAACTGTAAAGTAACGTTACCTACCCTTTTGCTTGCCGTTCTATAATTCAAACGAAATGTAAAAAATATTAAAATTTGGACCTTTTCAAAAAAGAAATATAATGTTCTTTATACTGTAATCACTGCAGTATACTGTACTTTTTACTTAAAAAATATATTTTTGTAACAGGTGTGCCACGAAAAAATACGAGTTCTGTCACAAAAAGCCGGCGCCGAGGTGAAGCAACACGGTCGAGACAACGATTTAGTCGAACGGATCAAGAAGGATCCTTACTTCGCGCCGATCCTGGATCAACTGGACAGCATTCTCGATCCGTCGACTTTCGTCGGTAGAGCACCCCAGCAAGTAAAAGAATTTCTGCAAGAGGAAGTCTACCCCGTTCTCGAACATTACGCAGGACTTTTAGGTGGTCACGTGGAACTCAGCATCTGATCTATCGCCGCGCTAATCAAACGGGACGATAAACTTTTATTCAGGGAGTCCAGAGGGGATGATTACTCAAGAAACTTTGGACGAGCTTGTTCAATGCTTTTATAGATCCTTCGTTCTTTTCAGCAATGAAAACAATGATAATGCTTACAGGTTACTTATAAACTTTACAAAGATCAAATAAAGACGTTTAATAAACGAAACGAAATATATATATATATATATATAAAAAACACACTGTTCGCAGCCACGCGCACGCTCATTTCCACGCTTGAACGTCTGCTCCTTTCCGCAAGGTAGGTTTTGCTTTTTTACTGCATTTTTCTTTGCGATTCGATTAGAGACTTCTCGACAACGTAACTGCTGTGATAGCGAATGCAGATTAGAGAACAGAGTGGAGAGACATACGAAACGAGCCGTCGCGTCGACGAGGGGCTATTGTCGTGTTGATATCCGGATAAAATATCAGAACACAAGCGAGAGAGATGCGAGACAGGTAGAGAGAGAAAGGAAGAGTAGAATGTTTAAAAAGAAAGACAGATATAAGAGCCGGATCATTTATTGTAAACAGATAGATTATGGTAACAGTTGCTTGACCTTCGGTTAATTTATTCTTCCGATACGAAAAAAAGGAAAAAAAAACCAAGACGTAATTTCTAATCCACTATAGGACATCGAAACATACGTGACGCGTTAGCGCGTCAGATATGTTGCTTTGCAAGAAAATTTTAGGTTCGTGCAGCAACTGTCACAGGCTTACAGAGCAGGTTAAAAGTAAAAGTTCACCCTGATACAGGAAATAGTCGGCTACTTTTATCGCGAAAGATGGAACGGTGACGTTAGCAGAACAGAAACAAGTAGCAGCAGCTGAGGATGCCTTGGATTTGTACGCTAACGTCTATAGCACTTGAGAATCACAGCACAGTGGGAAGGAGTTGCACAGATAGGTGTTCGCATTATTCTTTCGTAAAGTAGAGCTTTTCTGTAGCATAGATCGGACAACGACAGGTGAGAGGACTAGACTAGAGGTGAGAAAAGCGAGGAGGAAACGCGATTTTTTCGAGATTGAGAGCGACGCGAATCGTTTCCGTTTCGCTGCGCGTTCTTTTTCGTTGGTTCGCTTGCAGATCGATGGAATTTTCTCAGGGTGTTGGGAGAGTATGTACAAAATTCGTGGGAATTCGTCCGAGGGATTGAAAAGAGAGATTTTTGGCAGAAAGTAGAGTATGAGGAGAGAAGTAGCGAGAAGATTTGCAGGATAGATTTTGAACTGCAGAATAGAAGGTAGAAAATAAAGCGTAGAATGAAAGAAAATATTTGAAAAAAATAGAAAGAGGAAAGAATTAGAGAGACACAAAGGCTTCATTCTTGAATACCGTGTAGCAAAAGACTTTTTCCACACTAGGTTCACTGAGCACGGTCATTTTGAATCATTCCAAATTTCACAAGGAAAGTTACAGACACCATTTATATTTTTGCCAAACACTTATGCTGACTTTTATGTAGTAAAAGAGATCGGCATACGTCTAAATTATTTCGGTGATAGACATAAACGTGATCAAAGAGTTCTTGCAACATAAATGTTAAAAATAAAAGAACACAATGAAAGGTATTAAGATCCTCCGTAAACTTAGTGTAAAGGAAAAAGAAGGAAGCAATGTTTTGCGTAAGAGTAGAAACGAGTATAGCAAGGTACTTTTCAAGACAAGTGAAGAGAAGTAACACAGAGGAAGGATGGCAAGAGCAATATGAAACGTTTCAAAAGAAATGGACAGAAAGACGTATCTTACGTAAGAGCAGAAATCGAGCATAGTGAAAAGTTTGTTTAAACCAGTCGCGAGAGGGAACACAGGGGAAGAACAGAAAGATCAATAAGGGACTTCTTAAAAGATATTGACATGTTGACGTATCTTATATAAGAGCAGAAACTAAACACACTAAAAGATTTTTTTTAAGCCAGTTGAGAGAGGAAATACAAGGAATAGCAAAAGCTATAAGAAAGGTTTTAAAAGAAATTGGCAGAAAGACATGTCTTGCGTAAGTGGAGATACAGAACATAGTAAGAGACATTTTAAAACAAGTTGAGACGAAATACAGGTGGAGAATAGATAGAACAATAAGAGACGTTTTAAAGAAATTGATAGGAAGACGTATCTTACGTAAGAATGTAAACTGAAACGATTCTTTTAAACCATTTGACAAAGAAAATATTCAGAGAGGTAGAATAAAGAATTAGAGAGATATGAAGGTATAGCGTGTAGATTGAGAGGAGTAAGGAATTTTTTGAAGTAGATAGAGTAGAAATATTTTGGAAAGAATACATAGAACGAATTTCTTATACAAGACAAATAATAGAGATGAAGAAGTATCTCATATAAAATAAAATGCACAGCATTTGGAGATTTCAATTTTATAGTCGTATCGATAAGAAGACTAGAAGCGATGTCGCCTTTTAGCGACACACGTTTTTTTTTTTAAATTAGAATGAAATTTATATTTTTAGACGACGAAGATTCGAAGAAAAGAGGACAGAGGAAAGTTAGAGCTGAGGGAAAGCTATGTAGAAAGATTGAGGGTACAGGTGATAGAGAGAAAGTTGTAGACATATTTACAAAATTGTAAAAAATGAATGATAGAATAAAGTAAAGAACGCTTATAGAAGAGTTTCGGGAGCAGAAGCAGAAGATAGAAAAGAATAGTGAAAATATAGCAAATAAAAAGCATTTGAGAACAAAGAAGAAACCGGAAAAGTTTAACAGAAACTCAAATATGTATGTATTGATGCAGACGCCTGAACGAAGTAAAGAAGTGGTACGGTAATAGTGTAAAAATCGTACAGGACTAGAAACGCGAGTAAAAGAAACTTTCTAGTGAAGTTTCATTTAAAATTGAAAGAGTGAACAGGAGAAAGTGAAAGCAAGAATTAATAAGATATGTACGTAGGCAGTAGAGAAGTATTTAAATTTTAAATTGTCGGAAGAATAGGCAATGAGAAGACAGTAACAGGAAATAGTAGTATTCGGAAGAAGGTAAAATATAGAAGGAAGCTGATACAAAAATCAGATTAGAATTTCAGCGAGAACTTTCAGTAAAAGAGAATAAAAAGAAAAAAAAATAGGTTACGAAGGACGACAGAGATAAAATATAGAAGAAAGGTAATTTTTACAACAGACTCTAAATATAATCGAAAGGGAAGTGTAGAAAGTTGAAAAATCGAAAGTAAAGGCAGAAATAAGAAATTGAGAGTAGCTATATAAAAGTATAGAGAAGAATAGTAATAGGAATGATAGCAAGATAGAAGTATAAAAAAGGACAGTAACAGGAATACCAGTATACGAAGAATAGAAGAACAACATCGTGAAAAAAATAGGAAAAACTTCAATTAAAATTCAATTTACATAAGTAGTTCGTAAAGACGATAAGATCACAGAAGAGCATAAGAATCTAAGAAAAGAAAAGAGAAAGATAAAATTATTTTTTGAGAGAATAGCATTCTAATTAGGATAGAAAATTAGAATAGCTTAAATTAGGATAGAAAAATAGCACTTAGAGATTTGAAGTGTAAAGAAATAGTAAAAAGTATAGAAGGTTTGGAAAGGAGCTCTCATTGACACAGTAATAAAGGGACAAGCAATGACGAAAAAAAAGACTGAACAATTATAACGTGTGGATAATTACAGCATCACAATAGACAGCGAGAAACATGAAGAAAGGTGTGCAAGTCGAGGACAATTTAAAAGAGTCAAAGTTGAGAAGAGAAAGGAAGATAGGTTTACGAAAGAGTATTGGGTGACAAACTCAGCAAATTTTGAAATTGTAATACTGATAGGTATGTAAGAAAATTGTACAGGTAACGGTAACAACAAAATAGTTGAGAGTAAAGGAGAGAGATTGGAAGTGTAGAAAGATTGAGTATTAAAAGATAGGAAGAACATAGAGAAATAGAGCATCAGAAGGTAGAAACAGTAGAAGTTATGAAGGAGAATAAAAGATAGGGATAGGTAGATAGTTCATTTTTACAAAGGAAGAAAAGAAAATTTTGGGTCAAAGTAAGGATTAAAGTAAGGAAATTAAAAATGAATTTGTACTTGTTGATGGAATAGAGAGAAACACGTAAGGGGAGATAGCAAAGAGATAGATGAGATATATGTAGCGACGAGATGGAAGATAAAATAGAAAAGATGAAGTGGAAGATACAATATATCGATCACAAATTGTGAATAGTTTAAGGCATATCCTCGCACTTTCATTGATACGTGCCGATGCGATTCCATTTAAAAAACCAATGACATCAATGAAATTGCGAGACGGGAAAAGAAAGCGATCATAGGAAAATGGCTATCACAGAGCATTAGGTTCGTGGAGAAGATTGAAACCGCTCTGATCGAACATTTCCGAATTAAGAATTCGAACAACTTGGACGCGAATAATTTTCAAGCGATTCATCTTAACTATCAGATATAAACAAGAAAATGTATAACGAATTCACAAGTTCAGTAAATTCGGATCGAACATTGAGATTTCTCAATTTTGCACTCTTCAGTATCAGGTCGATTTCAGGTAACGATGATAATTACAAAATCTTAGCAGAAAGACCAGTAACCAGCCTCGGAACATTTTTGATGATTGGAACCATTTTTCGTCGATTAGGAATTGTCGATTGGATGGCTGATTACTGAAATTATGGTCTCTTGAAAGAACAACTTTACGTTTACGTTGAATCCCGGTTAATCGTGGAATTTTCCGTAGTCAATGATCTTCCAAATAGCGTTTGGAGTTGTCAGATGGTACGCGATCGTCGTGGTCGGTTTATCGAGCGAGTCGGTTATTTCTTGGCGATTCGGTATCCGGAGAACGAAACACCGTCGGCTACTTTTCCGGAATCAACGAAAACGGCGACGTGATCTCCAGCTTCGAGGTCCAGCAGGACCAGATTGGAGCCTCCTCCTGGACCAACGCTGATCACTGGTCCCCAACTGTCGGAGTTGTTCAATTTCTTTTTCAAAGTGAGTCGAAGATCGGTGCTGCCGTAACCGGCGAAACTGAATTGGTACAGGCCCGGGCAATGAGTGATGAAAATCCCTGTTTGGGCGACATAGCCCACTCCTTTGTCAACCAGCGTCTCGGCGAGAAGGACTCTGGCATTCTGAGACAAACAAATCAATGTTGAACTATTACATTATTATTTTTTTTTTATTAGTAACAGAAAAAATGGATTTGAACCATCGCTGGTCCATAAGTTCTTGTACCATGTTCAATATATAATATATTTAATATATTATGACTTATTTCTACAAATGTTATATTCTAAGATTGCTGGCTTTCAGGAACTCAGTTATAACTCTAAACTATTATATTATATTTTTATGAAACTATTATGAAACAATTATGTATATTATATTGAATTATTATCGATTTGAGCTTGAATTTCAGATGACTTATGATACATTTACAATGGTTTCATGACCACCATAATTTATACATCAATTCAAGCAATCGTAATTGTCGTTAGAAGATTGGCTTAAAATTTTAATATTTTTTTCATTGTAAATTAATATAAAGTCTGAGCTCACATCGATAGATCCCTTAGTGGCAGAAAAAGCGACGACACCAGCACAGTCCGCTGCTGTTGCCAATTTCAAAGACCCGACGGTGGTGATGCCGGAATTTGGCGGGTTTGGTACTGCTGCTTCCGCCAAAATGGCTGCTGCTAGTATTAGCACCGACCACACCACCCTAAAAACAATATTCTTTTATTAAAAATGTAATAAATCCACGAGACATTAACATTGCAATACAATTATATTCAGCATTACATTTCTCGAATTCGTTCTAAAATTCCAATTATCATTTAACAAATAACGCATAAACAGTTGATCAACTTTTATTCTATTTTTGAAATGTTTATCTAGATAACTATTTCAATGTAGGTAGTTAGTTTATTACCATTTCAATTTTATTTATCACATGTTTTACGCAACACATATCGCGCTATTAATAGAAAGAGACACTAAATCCATTGCGGTACTAACGCAATCAAACTCAATATTATTTCCGCAAAAGTTGCATGAAAATACGACCAACGAAACGATAAGATTGCGCCATAACCCGGCATCGCAACCTCAGCAAAATGCTGTTCTGGGTTTTTATCTCGATTTTTTCCTAAATAGTGGAAGTTTTAAAATTCGTTAACGACGAAAGAAACCGTGGAACAACTTCTGCATCATATTAAGAGTAATCGTCAGGGCAAACATACTATTGCAGGTCGCAGCAGAAAATAATGAATAAAAATGACCGAATAATAAAATATACAACTGAAAAATATAATGACTCCTTACTTGTCTCCAAGAAAATAAGAACAGGATATATTGAATATCAAGTAGGAAACCGTGGTACGACATTTGCGTCATATCGAGAGTGATCGCCGAGGCACACATACTAACGGGGGTCGCAGCAGAAAAATAAGCCGACGACTCGTTCTTACGTAAGTGCGCAAGTAGGCGTTCGGGGTATTTTTGTAATTTCATCTCGTTTATTTTTTCGTTCGCATCGCGTTAAATCACCCAGCGTGACCATTCTCGGCAAAGTTCAACCCGGTTTACGACTTTCACTGCTCCGGGCTACTTCTCCGTCTGGTTCCCCTACTTATTCTTTTTTTCTTCTCATCGCTTTATTTGCTCCATCTTTCTTAGCCTCGAAAAGCTTTCGTTTTCGGTTGGGCTCTTTTTGTCCTTCTCGGTGAAATCCGCCTTATGTAGGCGAGATTATTCAGGTCCAAAGTGAAACCACGAGATAAATATGAACCAAATTTTGCCGACCACGATTTTCATCGATAACTATTATTTCTCAACCGTAAAAGAATCCCATTTCATGTCTAATGCCATCTAAGATTTCTTACAATTTTTGTAATAATTGTACTACTCTTTTTATCATTATTTCTTTAAGATTATTGTTGACAAGCATGTAGTGTTATTACTGAAAAATATTCTTCTCAGTGGCAATTAAGATGTATTTCCTTTATTTATATATGTATATATGTAAATGCTTTTAATGCAGTAAGTTATTAACATCATGTAGCTGATTTCTGTACATTCTTTTTATAATTCATTTATATACATATCTTGTTTTTCCCCACACAACATTTGTAAATATACTAGTGTCATATGTACTATCAAAGTATTTCATAGTTCTCATACTGTATGTCGTATAAAATAATATTTCGAATGTTACTGGGGATGTGACAGGGCATGAAAAGTGTCCGTGCAACACTGTGCAAACGATGGAAACAGGAAAGCAAGAGATCGTATGTTGATGCCGGTTTTATGTTTCTCGTATACTCTAGTCTCCAGCGATTCATAGAAACGAGTCAAACTTTACTACCATTCGTTTTGCTCTGTTAATCGCATACCGTGAGCAACGAAAGCAACAAGAAGCTTTTACACTGTCAAATGCGATCAACCACGCCAATGGAGCCTAAACTTTCTACTCTATGCCGAGAGAAAGTCGTCTCTTATGATTTTGTTATAGATTGTATCAAATTTTTTCTTTATGTTAGCCTCTTTGGCACACTTCTTAAATTTCTCTCTTTTGCTAGCATTCATTTCACATCTTAGTTCTTAATGTTCTTATCTGACCAATCAATATCAGGTATATGAAAACCAGTTTAATTTCATACTTCTAAATTTTATTAGAATTAACATTTTCTCTTGAAAAAAATCGGTTCACTCGGTATGTTTTTGTGGAAAACATTGACGGGACGTTATGAACATTTTTAAATATTGTTTTTGTTGGTTGAGATTTCAAAATTTTTATAGTAAACGTTCCATGAAATTCATTTCAGAATTTTTGTGGTAGACAGTTTTAATCATATTAGGTTTATTTGTCAATGTAATATCATATTATGTACAATACTTTATGTTATCATCGAAATCAATGCTTTGACATCTTTGTCGTAAAAAATGTAACAGTTAATGAAATATGCGATTCCTATTGCTCGTTTCTAATTATCAAGCGTCGCAAGAGGTCGTATTAAAGTTCAGGAGTGACCTGCATATTAAGAACGAGAATTAACAGCGTAATGTACTTTTAACCCCTGAATCGCATTTACTTCTGCAAGATAAAATCAGAAGTCCTTTCACTTTCACGGGCTTCAAGGCGAGGATCTCACGTGCGACACGTTTCTGTCGCCTATGCGAAACAAAGTGACAACGGTAAATGAAATGAATCGTGACCGTCGAACGATCAATTTGCTCGTTGAATCGAGCAATAGCGAATGTCATTAAAAATGAAGATTACCTTAAAATTTCAAGTACACTTACTTAATTGCGAAAATGGATAAATGAATGAAATAGTTAGCATTGCAAATAATCTTCAATTTGAAGTAATGCAAGTGTAGTAATGTAGTTATGTAATAACTAATAAATATTAATATGAAGTACTATGTATAATATGTAAACAGATGATAAAACCAATGCATAATATGATAACGGGATACATAGCGTGATGAAGAGAGTTGCAAATGTAATTTTCATTATCATATTATGAATTTTACTTTTCATATTAGACAAGTTATACGATTTTAAGAAAAATTGATACGTTTCAAAAATAATAGAAGTATTCTATGCTTGAAATAACGACCAAATTGAAGTTAATTTGAACTCCTCCATAAGTATTTTCTACATTTGATTTGTCATTGCAAATAATTGTTTAACTCTATAAAATATTAAACGTTTTGATCCTCACTTTATATTCTCTTCAGTAACTTCAAGAAGAAATATTCTATTTCAGGGTTAATTAAAAGTTTAAAAATGATTATCGAAGAGTTCAACGTTTAATAAAGTCAACTAATTATTTGTAATTATGATATTTATTTTAATATACATATTTTATACTTGTTTGATATCGAAGTTGTCTGACGGGTATCCTGCGCGAATTTTGTTTGTTATGCGAAAATGGCAAGGCCACCGTTGAATGTCGAAATCAACCCGGAAGATCCAAGTTACGTTTGGAACTTTTATCGCTGTTCGTGGAAACAATCTTAATCGCTTGGTTGCGCAAAAACTTTGCGTATTCAGGTTTTTGCGTTAATGGAAACAGAGATCAATAATCTCGGTACAATTTCAAACCTAAATGGACGATCAAGAGTTTAACGATCCTCTGCATCATATTGGATATTTTACTATTAAACGATTCGTATCATTCTTATGAAAATAATGAGATTGTTAAAAACAGGTTTATAAATTTTATATCACCGTTTTAACATAAAATAGGATTCTGTTTTTGTTAAACTTAAGGAGTGACTCGATAAACAAACCGAAAATTCGATTAATTCTTAATCATTTTTTGTAATCGATCTTTCATTAGTCTAGTTGCAATTGATCGAATTAATAAAATACATCAAACGGAGATTATTTTGAATTATTTACAATACTTAAAAATCATACATTTTTTTATATCGATTAAGAATATTTATTAAAATAATTCACTAGATTTCTCAAAATGATATAAATTCACAAACTTACAATTTTAATAAAATTACCTAGAATTTTTTTGACAACTAGTAGTATCAGAATTTCAAGTAAACCGTGGGTTTTACTTCAAACGTGCAACGAATGTTTTTATTGTTTTTAAGGACATCACGAGTAGGTAGTGCCGTAATTTACACAAACCTCAAGATTACGTTGAAACATAATACTGTCCATCTTATGCAACATCTGCACCATAATTCCATGTACATATAGTGTGATCCACTTATCGTTGAATCTAATTTAACGCGATAAACCGCGTTTGCATGACGTGGAATGCTTTTGATGCATTGAAATGATTTCTTACCATTATTCAATAGAATTAACCAAGTTGAAAAGAATGTAAATAATGTTTCCTGTGAATTTATTCGTTCTCCCAAGATGCATTATACGTGATAAATGCAACTCAAAGTAAGTGTAATTCAATGAGATTAAAAGTTCTAAAAGTATATAAAGTATTCATATTTTCCACGTAGATAATAAATATTTATGAAGCTATTATTATTGCTGAATTGCGTTGCAGTAATCGATTCACGTTTCTAAGGAGAATTTCAGATTATGTCAGTTAGAATGTTCTTGATAAAAATTGTACCAATTTTACTGTGCCAATAATGAAATATCATGTTAATTTCGATTTTCATCGGATGTTTAAAAATCATTTAACTATGTGAAATTATGTTATTTGTTTGGAGAGGAGAAAATGTATAAAATTTAAGTATATTCAAATGTGCTCAAAAAAAGAAATTAATTTTAAAATTTGCTTCGAGCATAAAATCGCGCTAATTTGAAATATACGCCTAGATTAGATTAATTTGCATAAATGAAAGTAACTGAGGTAAAGAATTTGAATATCGAGTTATGCATAACAAGATGTAGAAAGCTGTCATATCAAGAATCTTAATAGTGATAAATTATGGATTTAATTAACGCAATCGCAAAGTAAAATTATTCTTGAAGAAAGAAACAAATGTAAAGTTTCGTAAATTTTAATGAACAACAACAATGTTAAAATTTAATAGCGTCTAACATAACTGTTTATATTTATAACCACAATCACACAGATAAAACTGAAGCCTTTAAATCGTAACTTAACTCAAAATATCAAATAATTGAAATGATAAAATTAAGCACAGTAATAATTTCATACTTTGTTAATAGAATTATGATTTTCTGAATATTAATTTCGATTTTAATTACCAATAAAACATCAGGTAAAAAGAATAACTTAAATTTCAATATCCTCGTTTCTAGTTAACAAAATTTAATTTATAATTGTAACTATACATATTCTCTAATTAATATTCAAATCCAAATAATATTTAAGTATAAATAATATTTTAAGTCCCTTCACTGTGAATGACAACAAAGGAAAACAATGACGCATAGATTGGCAGGCTTGTAACAAATGGCAAAACTATCTCCTGTAATCCTGTAATCATTCTCGTTAATTTTTAAAAATTTCATTAGTCAATATTCTTATAATTACTCTACTCATTATTCCTTTCGTTTCTCCTTGTTCTTAGTCCATGTTTAACTTGTTTTAGATTTAAATTAACTACCGAAGTGGACCCAAGCAGATGTCGAAATGGGATGTTTCTCTTGTCAACGCTTGTAAGCGTTTACTTAAAATAAAACTAGGAGAAAATTAGAGACACTGAAATTATTGATTCTTTAAAGGGACTCACATGATGGTAGAAAGTGGTGTGGCAGTGGCGGACTTCCTGACCGTGCTGGGCAACGCAGCTGTTCGGTGTTCCAGGTAAGTTAAACCAGGTGAAGTCGACGTACGCCTTTATATTACCTTGGAGTCCGAACTGCTTGGTCTTGACGCCACCTCCAGTCTTCACCTCCCTAGTCGTGTTGCCTTTCCTTTCCTCGTGTCAAGTGCTGCCCCCGAGTCCCCACTCCTCTGGCATTAGTTAAGGACAGTCGAGTAGATAGCGACAGTCGGATTATTGGCTGCCCCGACAGGCAAATTTTCTGATAGGACGCTAATCGGTGTCCTGGATGGAAATTTCAAGTTTGCTTTCTAATACAGCCTCCGAGTTTCGTGGAATTGCGAACTCTGAAAATAAATTTCGAAAATTGCAGGAACGCTTGAACGAACGAATTGTGGTTTTAAATGACAGATGGGAATTTGAGTAAATATTTGTTGCACTTCTGAAAATTATTGAGGGATTAATTACTAGAATTTTTTTACTCTTTCATCTTTATTACTTTGAACAGTGGAAGAGAAATTTGTGCGAGTTTATTGAATCCTAAATCTAGTCTAGTATTTAGAACATCAAATTTGTCTAAATTAACTTGTTCTTCCTTCGGGGTAATCATCATTCGTCGTTCAAGTGACGTCTTAATGAGACAACGTCAACACAATATCGTGTCTATTATACGTAATACCAGGTGTCAGGGAATACCTTATGATTATTTAGAAAACGGATCCTCTAAACGCATCATGAATGGAAATGAATTTTCTCTTTTGGCACACAATGGTAACCAGAACGGAGTAAAGTAATTAATCGCTCACACGGCGAATAATCCAATTGATAACAATCATTTTACGAAATGCATCGAAGCTGTGTTTTAATTTAATTGTTCCCTCATCAGCGTCTGAAGCAATAGACTAATTCTAATTAAATCCTCTAAACCTCTACTGTGCATGTTTTAATACACTTAAATAGTAAGCATTAAATACCATTAATTATTGATTGAAATTAATCAAATTAATATGATTAATCTATGATCGAAGGAAGTCAAAGTAATATGATTAATCATTGAGAGAAATAAAGTCCTATTCTATAATTCAGATTTTTCGTTCCTGTCATGGATAATAACTTTCACTTTGGCTTTCGATTTGCGTTATCACAAGCTGTCTATATCAAACTGTTGCTCCGGTTTATAGTGTCAATATAAAAAAATAACAAATTTAGTTGAACAATTATAAAGTTCCGTTTAAAATTGTATAATATTGCTTAAGTTATGGAAAGTTTTAGAAAATGTAAACAAAGAATTAATCTTCTTTCATTTTTAAGCAATACAGACTTCTTAAGTAAGAATTACGGTACTGTAATTGATTGACATCATAATATCTACTAAAAATATTTCCTTTCGATTGAGACAAGTTTATGCGTGTCTCTATCTCGTCGAACAACTGCTCTTTCCCGGAGGGAATGTACAAGTTTTGCGCAATCCATGAATTACACGAGAAGGGACCCTAAACGACGCATGAAAGTCATAATAGTACTTATCAGTTTGGTCAGTTGTTCCAGTAAACCCATTATTAGAGTAAATTCTATAAATTAAGTACGTCACTTTTCTTCCTTGTTCCTTTTGAAAAATTGCTTGCTCTCATGATATGATAGTAGCACATTTTTATTGAAATGTGGCAGTGTGATATCCATTAATTAATCAAAATAACAGCAATTTCGATTGACGATATTTTTAAAGAATTAAAAAGGCTGGTCTTACTAACTAATAATGTAGTACATTGCGTCTGAATTTCATTGATGATCTTTACAAAATTTTAAATATTTACCTAATAGGGATTGATTAATTATCGAAACAATATTCTTTCTCTTCTAGAAATAATAAATATACATTTAATGTTAATTATGATGAATTATATATTTTTCTTTACATTTGATAATGACCAATACATTTTTATATATGGCAAATTTATTCAAAGGTAATTAATATTATACATTTATAAATGTATACATTGCTGCTGAGATCTATCTTCCAGGTAAATTTATTAATTAAGTCTCTTGTGGTTATGCACTCGAAGTACTAAAAATTTAGAGAAATAAAACGAAGATTACGGAGATACTACCCTATAAGAAGCATTGAAAATATAATTCTCGGCAACCAAATACGCGAGTTTTATTCGTTCCAGGAGAATTATGTCACAATTAAAAAGAAAACTTGTATGATTCTGTTTGTATGTCGTCCTCCCATACAGAGAGGATGAAAATGTACCAGTGGGTCACCGGAGACAGAGTTTATTTCCAGTGACCCCCTTTTTCGTTCCTCTTCCTTCGAATCCCCCATTTCCTTTTCCACCACATGAAACATCTCGAAAGTTAAAAGGAGCAAGATGAATATCCCATATCATCACGTCTCTTGTCAGTTTCATTTTGAACATTGATCCTTGTCTGTTTTGTAATATAAAAAAGATGCAGGATTTCATAGCGCCCGAAATATATGTTTTACTTTTTACATAAAACAAATTATTCATTTTACATGTACATTCTTAAAGTATCAATGTCCAAGTATTTGAGTACGTGAACAATTTCACCAGACTGTTTTACTAATAATTACATTAATGAAATGTACCTATTGAAAGTAAAATATTAACCGAGTTAGTTTCGAATTTTATTGCAAAAAAAATTTCTTTTCTATTACACCTCAAATAATTTCTTGTAAGGACCCAAATCATGTTCACATAGTGTTCTAAAATCGTAACGATTCACTTTCGACTTTTGTTTTTTAGGTAGCAACAATAATAAACGCCAGATAATTATGAGCATTAAATTTTAAAAACACATTAATTATCACTATAAGTATATTTACGAGCAACCACGAAGAAAAATGTAGGTGCGCGTGTTGGCAGTAATTTCAAACTTAGATAATTTCTCTCGTGAAACGAAAATTTATGTTCCAGTGCTCGTTTAATTTTATGTAGCTAAAAATGATCGCAGCCTACCATTTTATGGGGAATTCTTAACACCGAAGAAACTCTTTCTATTTACCATAACTTTACGATCTATCGCAGTACTCTTTTTACTATGTTCGCCACTAATAATCGCTACCTCTAATGAAGAAAAGTGTGAAATTGTCAGAGAGTGACATAACTTTTTTCTGCAGTATTAAGCATAATTCTATCAGAGGTATGTCGAAAATTTTCATAGTTTCGAAAACTGAAAGGGAAAAGAGTAATGGGCCGATGAATTATGTTCGCTAAATACCAAGTAAATTATTCGTGTTTCTATTCAACGCCTTCTGAGAAACTTGAGTTACGGTTGTATAGTGAACAAAACTTTCCACCAATCGAGGCTACTATACAGAATTGCAGTACGAAATTATTCAGCATATTTCATCATCGACGACTGATATACAAACGAGAAACTTGTTGGTGGCAAATGTATAGCTAGATACGACAAAGATAGAATGAAAATGATTGAATTTCAAACGCCACTTCAAGAAAGAATTCTACAATTTTACTTTCTCAAACTTTATGCTATTTGAAGTATGAAACGAATAAATGTTATACAATAAGTATTATATGAAGAATTCATTTGATATATTTTTATAATGTATTTATCATACATATAGTATAGTACCAATTGTATGTAAAAGTTCTATCGATAGTTAAACTTAATTAACTTACACGTGTGTCTCGAATGATTCACCATCTATTTCTATCAATATATTAATTATTTTTCTCAAGAGGTCAGAGTTCTTCCACGAACGTCTTCATCATTAAATGGAAAGTCACTACGCCTCCACAATATGGAACAAACGAAAGTTTAACCTCGGGCTACACGAAATAAACAACAAATTTTCATTGATTTATTTAGTATCACAACAGAATGTAGCCTTTCATTTGTTCCTTTTATTTGTTACTAGAAATTTGGTATCAATATAGTAATTTTTCTTGACTCTGCTACTGTCCGAACTCTATTATTAAAAATGCATGAATTAAGCTACCAGAAAAGATAACGGGATTAGAAATAATATAGTAAGGCATGTCTTATTATTTTTGTACAATTTCATATTTATTCTAAATTCGTAATATTACATTAAGTAACCGCGGGAGAATGGCACGATTATCGAAGCTCCGTCCTAAGTTGTGCAAGAGAAACTTATGTACGTATAAAGAAAATCCTTATCGGCGCAAAAAGATGTTCGCGAACGATCGCTGATTCCGCGAAACGTTTCGTCGCGACGGATCTTTAACTGCTACTAGTAGCACAAGCGGCAAAATAAATAAAAATTGCGTCGAGTAGAAGCAAGAGAGTAGAAGTAGAGGATAGGTAGGAACGAAGTGAACACAGAATTAAGGCAAGCTTGGGTAGCGCGCAAAGAACATTCAAAATAAACTTCCCGCGTGTGCGAGGAAGTACGAGAAACCCGGAAAAGAAAGTAAACGAATTCAAGGGATATATCAGTTATGCAAACTGCGTTATCGGTACCGATGCACGTACACTCGATAAGTATATACAAAGTAACCAATCGTTCTTCTTAAATATCGATCAAAGAAATTTTCAGTTCGAAAGACAAGTTAAGAACCCATAATTACGTGTCAAATTAGAATTACAGGTATATCGAGCTTAGGGAAGTCGATACTTTCTGCGATTGCAGAGGAGGGCTAGGACTGCTTGTCGAATTTTCCTGAATTCGAGTATTCAAATACTTCGCTGATTTAAATGTGAGTATAAGTCAAGTGCTTGAGTGTTGGTATAAGTACTCGTTAAGTGCTTGAATAATTGTAGTATTTGAATAGTGCGATGTGAAGTGTAATAATTCTGATAGAAATAATATACGTGCATTTTTATATTATTGTATACTTGCTTTACTCTGTTATGTGTCTTTGATATATTTTTAAGGAAAGACTTATTCATTGAATTTTTCAAAACATACGATAATATAATCTCGTGTAGATAAAATCAAATAGAATAATCATCCCATATTTTGGAATTCCTCTAGGAGTGTATTTAAATTTAGGCTAATACATGTATCAATGTAATATAACGTTCTAGAATGAATTAATATTGAATACTAAAATTAATCAAAATGGTCTCTTGTAAAAAAGAAACATTTAAATTATTATGCAAAATATACTTAAATCCATTTTGCTGTAATATTCGAATATTATTACTCGAATACTGAAATTTTCAAAGTATATTTGCAACACTTCGATACTTATCGAATATTCGAAGAGCCCTAGCCCAATTTTGGACCCACTTTCTTGCTGCGTCGATTCTCTCATTTCATCGTCGATGAGACTTATTTTTTTTTTTCCTTTTTTGCCAGAGGGCAGCGAGTCGGTATTTACAAATTTCGAAGAGCAGAGGGGGACGTTATTTACAATGATTCCCGGCGACATCGAATCGGCGCACGCCATCGAGTTCCCGCGATTTGGATCGGTGAGCACAACTTGACTTTCACTCTGGACAGTGTGCTTTCGCGTCGCTGTACCTCGATCGCCTTGGATCTTTCTTCTTCTTTGTCTTGGCCCTCGTTACCTCGAGAAAGCATTCTGTTATACTCATTCCGCGGGCCTCGAAGGTATGCAAAGAAATTGAGCGTAAACCGTTACCCCGTTATAATTAAACGTTATCTCACGCCTAGTTTCATTGTCGAGGAATGCGTGTGCTTAGAATGGTGAACGCGCAATTATTAAACAAGTTTTAGAAAAGACGAGTCGTAAATTATAATAATTATAGAAAACCACTTCATTAGGAAAGTTCACATCGAAGTAATGGAATTAATTTTCTTTGTCTAAACTGAAGAATACATTTCTGATTCAAATGTAATTCGATTTTCGTTGAAGTAATTAATGGTTTAAATTATGTATATGGCTTTAATGATGGCAACGAATTTACCCCAATTTCTTCGACGCCTCGTAGACTTGAGATGCAATCGAACTTCCCATTCTTAACACGTTGACTGCCAGACTGACATGTAAAAATTCCTACGAGAATACAATTTTGTTCTTACACAGTTAGATATTATGTAACCCAACATTTGTGCTTATTTAGTGCTTATTTTTGCAACTCCTTTAGAATTTACCAATCCTATCCAGATTTATATTCTTTAATACATCACCTTCAGAATTAATTCATTTAATTCTTTGATGAAAGTCCTTGTCACCCTTATGTAGGTTACGTGTGTTCAACGTGTTAAAGAAAATGGTATACAATAAAATGCCGCAGTGTCAGCGATCGATTGGCTGTCCGTTGACAGCGAACCACCTAAACTAACAAATTATCGTCCTGACAGGCTGGCCCCATGCTCGGCCAATTGCAGGCGCTGGCGCCGTTGTCGAACGTTAGGTGAACCGGACAGTTGAACACGTGAAGCGTGAACTTCTTCTTCCATTCGTCCCAGTGGCAAGCGTAGAACTTGTTGCAGAAGTTAGGATGTCGGAACAAGCCAGGCCTGGCGCAGTTGGTGGCACCCTCGAGGACCTCTTCGGAGTCTCGAAGTCCTCCAGGTCCGTAGCGATCGAAAGAGGCGCCGCCAGTGCTGACAGAGTTCGTGGTGGCTCCATTATTGTTCAAACTCTTACCAGACCTGAAATTGCTCGCTAAGCCTCGACTGGAAGTTCCTCCGATGAGGTTCTGCGGTGATAACGGGACGTTAACACGGAATCCCGAGTTCGGAGTCACGCTTGGCAGATAAGCTGTCGAAGGTTTCTCTCGAATCTGAGAAACTGTAGAGTACTGGAAGCCAGGAGCTGGCGTTTCCTCCGTCCAGATTTTAAGTGGCCCTTTCGACGAGGACTCGTAATTGGTTACGTAATCGTCGTCCTCGTAAGACACATCCTTCTCGAGATCCACGTAGATCTCGGAATCGTCGTAGTTGGAGAGGTCCACTTTGCCTCTGGACGAGTTTATCAGTTTGGAGCCTGGTCCTCGGAGATTGGCGAAGGGATCTCCCTTGCAGGTGCACTCGGCTCCGAGCTTGCCAAGAAGAAGAGGATGAAGATCGCTCCACTTCACGATTACCTTACTCTTTCCTACGGCTGTGGACTTGGCAGTAGTTTGGTATGAAACGATGGTAGAAGGTGTCGAGTAACCACGCGAGAGAGACGACTGCGATTTTCCGAATGGTGCCGACGTCGATGAGCCGTAACTTTGTCCGAAAGTCGACAAGGAGGACGTCTGACTCTTGGAGAAATCTCCTCGAGCGTTCAAGGTACTTTGTATTGGCGTGTACACATCGTATTGGCTTGGGACGTACTTCGTGCTGCCTCTGTAATTTGTGACTAATTTTCCAACTTCGTCTCTGGATATGTCCACGCTCGACGGGGAACCACCGGATTGAGTCACGGGTGTGAGCGGTGTTGATTGCTGATAAGTGATGTCAGGAGTTGTGAATGGTTTTCTATAGGTCACTCCGACGCCTGGGGAGTTGTAATCGGTTGGCAAGTATTGAGTCTGAAATGGAAAATACATTTCATTGTTTATGGGTTTCATTTAGAGACTTTAATGGGTGTTGAAGGGGAAACATTCTAGAATTTCCTGTTTCGTATGTAAAACATATGCAAAGTATACGTCTATGTTTTACATAAAGCACATATAAGATATGTATGGTTTACAGTTTATGGTTTTAATTAAAAAAAATGTATCGGCTATTGAAGGAGAAACTATCTAGAATTTACCTGTGGTTTCAGTGATTCTGAAATACTGGCAGGTGTCACCTGATCGAACGAGGTCCTCGAAGTCGACTCGACGTATTCAGAACCAAACGTACTAGAGATGTAATTAGTCTGGAAAATTATGTTGTAATGCGTAAATTATAAATCCATATTCGTTAGTAAATCGTGTTTTTAGATGTGATTCGACACTTCTGATTCATGACACGTTGATATTGTGAGCATTGTATAGCAAGGATTATTTTAACGTTCATATTTATCATTATTAACATAGATTAACATAGATAGAATAAATAAAGAAGTAGAACATATTAGGAATCAATATTAATATTAACCAAAATCTTTCTGTTACTTGTAATTATTACTTGTAACCAAAACCACTTTACTCAAAATAATAATTATTAATCCTACATGTTTTTGTTTCATTGATTATCACTGGTTTTAAATAACTCCCTCTATCTAAATAATTACAAATAAGTCATACCTGTGGTTGCTCGGTGACGAATGGACTTGAAGTGCTCGTTCCAAACGGCCTGGGTTTAATAGAATACGTCGACGATCCTCCGAACACCGAAGAAGGCGTCGTGCTGGAAACATAACCATTCTGCCCTCCACGTTGAGAGGTTCTCGTTCCAAAATCGAACTGACTCTGACTAAACGTATTTCCATCCTGAATATTTCCCCTAAATTTATCGTGATTCACTGTCGCAGGCCCAGGCGTCGACGACACAAGAGTCTTATACCCAGTGTCAACTGCCGTCTGAACCGTGGATATTATAATCGGAATTTTCGACGATTCGAAACTAGTGGCCTTATAACTGTCCAACGATCCAGTTGTGTAACCCGCGGGTGTAACAGTTGAAATTGATTCACGTGTGAAGCCAGACGGAACTTTCCCTTGGTAGTCTCCGCCTGTGGGTCCACTGAAAGTGCTCACAACATCAGATGAACCCGTGAAACCACCGAATTTCGGTGACTTGTACATTTCAACGCTCAAGAATGGAGTCGGCGTCGTCACGGTAAGAACACTGCCTTGGGTTGGAGCAATGGGAATCCCCGCGGAAGATGTTACACCAGTTTGGAATGGAATACTTGGCGTGGGATACGAGTAGCCTGATTTCGACGGACCCAAGGTAATCTTAGAGGTATCGATATGATTTACATCCTGAGATTGCGTTGAGGTTTGTCCTGAATAAACCTGGATGTTGCTTTCAGTTGACGTCTTCGTGTAACCCGCCACGTTGCCTTCGAACGCCTTCGCGCCAATGTGGTCGGCATTAGTCGCAGGTCGAGGTTTCCCCGTGCTGATCACGTAGCTACCGTGACCACCCAAGGAAGCGGTCGTGATACCTGTTCTGGTAGATCCTGTTTTTGTGAATCCGATTGGCACTTGTGTTCCGGGAACACCTGTGCTATGTCCTGGAGGGATGATCGAGTCTGGAGGGAAACCTCCACCTGGCCTGTAGTCTGGGATATCGTTTTCTGTGTACTTTGTAGTCACGTCTCCGTTATTGAATCTGATAGTACCTCGACCTCCGTTATCATGGTACTCGTTGGTCTTGTACCCGGTGTCGTGAGTCACGGGTACGCTGCCAATTCCTGTTCCGTAGGTGGAACCTGTGCTGAAGCCTCCTTGATGCGAGAATCCTGTAGAAATACCATGTCCAGTCGAGCCAATAATCGTTCCAGGTTGGACAGATCCACCAAGCGTCACTCCAGGTGCTGTTTGACCAGTTAGGACAATTCCAGGAGTTGAAGCTCCGTGTAGAACAGTTCCAGCATCAGGTGGTCCTGTCAGTAGGATTCCAGGGGCAGGTGTTCCATAGACTGAGGTTCCGTGACTGCTTGAACCAGTGTACACAGTCTTGACCCCTCCGCTAACTACGTAGCCTGGTGTACCAGTGACAGACGTGACGTATCCTGGATGACTGCTTCCAGTTACTATGGTGCCTTGATCGGAAGATCCTGAGATGACTGTGCCTTGAGTGTCTCCGTAAGTGATAACACTTCCTGGAGAAGAGTCTCCTGTTAAGATTGTTCCTTGAACGCTGTTTCCTGTTATGACAGCTCCAGCTCCAGGGGTTCCTGCTGTTCCATAGGTAACAGAAGGTGTACCGAACCCGTGGTACGTTATGCCTCCGATGGTAAGTGTATGACCTCCAACTAGAGTGGTATTTAAATCCCCAGGGCCTGGAGGTCCCTTGTAGCCACCTGGATATCCATTTGCACCGTGGTAGATAGTTGTGCCGGACGATGTACCTCCGTATCCCTTAGTTCCAGAATTGCCAAAGTACGTTGTCGATACTGATTGTCCAGGAAACACTGAACCGGTAGAAACACCATGAGTGGTAGAGTAACCGTTTGTATTATAGGACTGACCACCTGATTGCTGAGTAGACCCTTGACAACCGAAGCTTCGACCACAATCGACGACTGGCCCGTCCGGTTTTGGTACGTAAATCGGTCCAGCTGTGAAACAAAATTTTAATTAATTATGTAACTTTCAATTACAGAGCTGTATAATCGTAAATTTACAAAGGAAATTTGGTACCCAGAAAATTTTGTTGTAATTGTGCATGCTATCTCTTTATTCCAATCAGTTTGTTATACCTATTGTAACTAACATTTCTAAGGAAATGTTTGTCTCTTAGATTTCCAAAGTAAATTTCTGTTTATTGCACCTAAAGTTTCGTCAACTTTAGTTTGAATAGTATACAAAAAAAGTATGGGTGAGCTTGTATTTATTTTAAACTCTTATAATTATTCATAACTCGTAATAGATGCAAATGCAGCCAAGAGTGTTTGACAGAGGATACTCACGTCTTTGTCCACCTCCACCTTTTACTCCTGAATCGTCATAACCGCCAGTAGAAGCTTCTACGTAACTTGTTCCAGTTGATTCTGCATGGCCGCCACTAGTGGATCCTGCATAACCTCCAGTGTAACCCGATCCAGGAGAGCTTGGATGAACATTGCCCGATCCTGTATATACTCCAGGAGTCGATCCCGTATAACCTGTTCCAGCAGATCCAGGATGGACACCAGCTGATGATCCTGAGTATCCTCCACCCGTAGATCCTCCGTAGTCTTTAGTGCCAGATCCTGTGTAACTGGTTCCAGCGGATCCAGGATGAACACCAGTCGATGATCCTGAATATCCTCCACCAGTAGATCCTGCGTGAGCACCACTGGACGATCCTGCATATCCTCCAGTGTAACCCGATCCGGGAGAGCTTCTATGGACATCACCCGTTGATCCTGCATATCCACCAGTGTAACCCGATCCGGGAGAGCTTCTATGGACATCACCCGTTGATCCTGCATATCCTCCAGAGTAACCCGATCCGGGAGAGCTTCTATGGACATCACCCGTTGATCCTGCATATCCTCCAGTGTAACCCGATCCGGGAGAGCTTCTATGGACATCACCCGTTGATCCTGCATATCCACCACCGCTAGATCCTCCTTGTCCTTTAGTTCCAGATCCTGTGTAACTGATTCCAGTCGATCCTGAATATCCCCCACCTGTAGATCCCGAATATCCTCCACCTGTGGATCCTCCGTGAATACCGATCGTAGAACCTGAATATCCTGATTCAGTTTCTTGACCAGGGAAATGGGATCCTGTGCCAGCTCCTCCACTATAAATTCCGTTTGATCCTGCATGCACAGTAGCTCCTGTTTCTGCGTATCCTGAGCCCGTGGATACTTGACCGGTACCGGTTACTCCTGAATATTCGGTGCCTGCAGATCCTGCGTGACCTGAGCCTGTGTATATTTCATTCGTTGATCCAAAGTAGCCAGTATTCGCGGATCCTGTATATCCTGAACCAGTCGAACCTCCATGACTTCCAGCAATTGATCCTGATCCACTATAACCTCCAGAAACAGTTCCATGTTGACCACCAGTGCCTATGTGTCCTCCTGTCGTTGTTCCAGAATATCCACTTCCAGTTGACCCAGAGTACCCGGTTGATCCCGATCCACTGTAACCTCCAGAAACAGTTCCATGCTGTCCACCAGTGCCTATATGTCCTCCTGTCGTTGTTCCAGAATATCCACTTCCAGTTGATCCGGAATATCCAGTTGATCCTGATCCACTGTAACCTCCAGAAACAGTTCCATGCTGACCACCAATACCTATTGTTCCAGAATATCCACTGCCAGTTGATCCCGAATATCCAGTTGATCCCGATCCACTGTATCCTCCAAGGCCAACTCCATGTTGACCACCAGTGCTTACATGACCTCCCTTTGTTGTTCCAGAATATCCACTTCCAGTTGACCCAGAGTATCCAGTTGATCCCGATCCACTGTATCCTCCATGGCCAGTTCCATGTTGACCACCAGCACCTATGTGCCCTTCTGTTGTTCCAGAATATCCACTGCCAGATGTTCCAGAGTATCCAGTTGATCCTGATCCACTATACCCTCCAGGAACACTTCCATGCTGACCACCGGTGCCTATATTACTTCCTGAAATCGATCCCGATCCACTGTATCCTCCAAGACCAACTCCATGTTGACCACCAGTGCTTACATGACCTCCTGTCGTTGTTCCAGAATATCCATTGCCAGATGATCCGGAGTATCCAGTTGATCCTGATCCTGATCCACTGTATCCTCCAAGACCAGTTCCATGTTGACCTCCAGTTCCTGTATGACTTCCCGCTGTTGATCCAGAATATCCACCACCACCTGTTCCAGAGTATCCAGTCGACCCCTGATCAAACGATCCATGACCTCCAACGTTAGATCCATCGTATCCAACGCCAGCTGCTCCAGAAAACCCAGAATGACCCGAATATCCTCCAGTCGCTTCAGTATTGGAATAACCAACACCAACTGTCGTGCCAGTGTACACTCCGTTTTGGAATCCTGTTGTACCTCCATGTCCTTGAGGCAACGCTCCAGTAAAGTAACCACCAGTGCCAACGCTAGATTGGCCACCGGAATAGTCGTATTCTGGTCTTGTATAACCGCTATCAGAGTAACCTCTCACTAACCAAGGCCACTCGCAAACAAACTTCTCTTCGTCGAAGATCAATCCGAATGGACAACGGAATTCGTATGCCATCATTTGGGGGCCTCCTACAATTATAATTTTGAATTATTTTAGAAAAATGGTTGGCATTAAATTAAAGGAGTACTCTCTTTTTTACCAGTTTCGAGTTTTACCAATTTTGTTTGCATCCAAAGTCTAAAGAAATCTACTTTTTTATATAGTAACAAGAGAGTACCCCGTTACGAGTTTACGAATTGAGAGACAAGAACCTAAATCGATGCAGGCGAAGAACCAACGAGGATTTTGAGGATCCGCATAGTAACCAGGCTTGGATGGACATTCGAATCTTACTCGAGCTACAGGTGCGATTTCACTGCTTCCAGGACACGGGGATCCTTGTGGCAGTGATCCTGGCCAAACGCAAACTTCTGTGCTCTCGTCGAAGGACAAACCCGCTGGACAGTCGAACTCGAAGACCGAATAGTCTTCTACTTCTTGATTAAATTTAACGCAACGGTAAAATCTGTGAAAGAGGCCAAATTGTAAATGCTGAATAGTGTCCAAAAAAGAATGCTATATTTAATTGATTAATAATTTGATTGTAAGTACCTGTTACAACTCTTAGGATGAACGAAGTAGCCTTGTCTTGAGCAAGTGAACTCAGTTTGAGTGTTCTCGCGGGCTACTCGAATATGTCCTTCGGTGTCGACTACGCGAACAACTCGAAATTCGGATGATTTGACTTTAGTCGGATAAGTGAGTTGAGTTTGCTGCAATTTGAAACAAATTTATAATAAATATATGAATCGAATCATTAAAGTAAGTAAAAGATCCGATTATTTCAATATTTCAAAATACTGTCTAAAAATAGTTTCATGTTTAATTTTGCTAGTTTAAAAAATCTGAGCACTTGTTAGAATTGAATACGTATCGCCATCTATCGACACACACTGCCAGTTCAAGACTATAGTGAAAGGTAGCGTACCGACGGATATTTAAATTCTATAATTTCGAAATAAAAACGATAAAATTAAAAAGCAATCGAACTCTGATGTGAACAATATTAAAAACGAATAAAATGCCGTTGGATAGGTAGCAGTATTTTTTTTAGGATATAAGCCACTAAAAAGGATACCGTACTTAACGATTGATGTTAACTTTCCAATAAGAACTATCGTTATCATCAGTATTTTTATTTACATGTAAATCGTCTTCCAAAGCATTCAGAACAGCAGCTCTTGATTTTCTCTTAAAATCTGTGAACGAGTGATGAATTTCATGCGTAAGCGGCTTGCCGCACTTAGTTTCAAAGTCGTTCTGCACGTCTCGTATTGCAAGTCCTGGCAAGTTCCGGAGCAGAGCATATTTTCCCTAAAATCAAGAAATCGTTATTTTTTTGCTAAACACAATTTTATAATAAAGCCAGATGTACGATGACCACATACTTTTATTGCAATGGAAATTTTATCCTCGAAGGCGATCCAGGTTTTATTCTTGAAGGCATATGGGGCAGTTAAGTCTTCGTCCCTTTCAATCGTCCATTCGCCTTTGCTCATCGAATCGCATAGCTAGAAACAGAAAACGAAATCAATAATCAAGTATAACCTTCTTAATACATTAGAGCCGATATGTCGTCTTTTAATTTTTAATGCAATTATAGTAGCTATACAATGTAGTAATTTCGATAAAATATATTTCTTTGGCAAGGCTTATTTGTGTTGAACAGTTATAAAAACTTAATAATAATAATATATATCCTACATAATATATTTTATACCTATTATGAACTTTTCATTTATGTTATTTTATTAGAAACTATTTTCATTTTCTCAAAAATATGATAATGTCTATGCAGTAAGGAGAATTCTAGAAAAAATACGTTTTAGTTTCGGTGTTGGTACAAACTTTAATTCACCGAAAATATTCTTTCTCGTTTTCTTTTATAAAACTACATACACTTTACAATCAAATAAAAGATAAACAGAAAAGTAAACTACATCACTTTTAAAAGATGTCTTCTAAAATGCATATTAGCTCTCACACTAATTACTCTAATCACACGTCATAGTCATCATATTCGATTCACATGTCATTGAAGTTCTGTAAGGCTAAGGTTGACTTCACACCTGTTTCTGATCAATGATAACCGGCTGCCTCTCCACAGTCGATGACCTTGGAGTATTGTCATCTTCATCCTTCAAACTAAACTTGTAGGCACTGGCTGGTACCGACACCAGGATCTTTCGTTTAGGCGCTCCCAATCCGCTGATCAAGTCGATCAGGCTATCCGCGTTGAACATGTCGAAGAGTCCCATCAATCGTGACGGATGAAACGTGTGATAGTCCTCGTCATCCTCCACCAAGTAATGCGTCGGGACCGTGAATAGATCCACGTATCTGATGACAAATATGAACGTCTAAATATATTTGTATTAACGCATGTTTACGGATACGAACAAAATAACCGCCACCGTAATGAATTCCATGAATCATTGTTGAAAATAGGCGATACGAGAACTGGGAGCAACGTAATCATCGCATGGGACGTGTTGCTTGTCTCATAAAAACGATTACGATTGTTATAAACCGTCCATTTGATACCGTATTCGGAACAGTGTCGATCGCATATCAAGAACTGCCTCGAGTACGCTAAATTCATCCATATTCAACGAAATATGCCGAGTACGGCTGATCCATAATGCGAATCACGTACTGACTTTGGCTAGAATTTACTCTTGACTCACTTCGCTAGCTTCAAATCGTCACTATGACCTATATAAGTGTATAAACTTAAGAAACGTGATAGAACCTAAATTATTTTTAGATCAAGTACAGTACAACAGCAACTGATAAATTATGAATTGGAAGGTGGAATTAAATGAATTAGTTTTCTCAAACTTTCTATTCCTTGATTATGAGTCATACTTAATTGAACTATTCGTAAAGGAAATCAACATCTATGCCATCCTTGTTTCTTAGAACTACTTACTCTACCTCTTAAAGGTATCGATCATGTGTTCAGTGCAATACGAATTTATTTTTATCAAATAAAATTGCATGCATTTGATAAAAAAATTCTAATTAAAGTTTACATTCGGAAATGTTTCTGTTCCGTACAAATTTTCGGTAGAATGAATACTAATCGAAATATTCGCGCAGACTTTCTCATCGTTAACATTCTACAAGGATGAGTGATAGAAAAGATGATGGAGTACTTCAATCACAAAATGCGCTATATCTCTCTAACTGTTGCGTCTACGTCAAAATCGTAAATAATAAAAGTGATTGCAAATTAAATTTGGAAATGTTTGTGGCCTATACAAATTTTCGATAGAATGAATAGTAACAGAAATATCAACACATGAATACTTCACGAGGATGAGTAATAGCTCAGCCGTCCCTCGGAACATAAAATAAAAAATGTTGCATGCCAGGAAGCGTTAAAATAATTTCTGCAATCTTTGCACAATCACTTGATGTAGTGTTCGTTTACTCTTGTCAAACACTCGGATGACACCTCTCGTTCTCGTTCGCATTCCTGCCAGCATCACTCGTACTCTCATCCATATTCAACGTAAAATTCCAAACCGTTCTACGACAGTTTGCGAATGATCCACTAATTGTAAAGGCGCGTCAATCCGCGGACAATCGTTCAGTCAACTGGTGCATCAGATTATTACGGCACTCCTGACGCGGACTACCGACTTTACATCTGGCACAAGGTTAGGCAGATACACCGAACATAGATGAGTATTTTTTACTGAATCTGTTCTCACTTACTCCCTTGGTCAATAATTCATGAGACAGTTGAGCCGACGATGCATTGACGTTTCTATTGAAACCTTAACGGTTTCGCAAGCATTTAATGTTGCTCTATTGATATTTTGTGAAAAGTCCTATTGGCAGCAGGGATCGAGTTCCCAGAAAATTTCAATTTACGCGTTCGAATTTGTCTTTATGTTTTATGCATTACTCGACCCAACATTTTCTTTTAAGAAACACTTTTTTTTTGTAGTGAAACTTTTCTTTTGGTGAACATGTCAATTCTTACAACTTAGGTTGTTGGGAAATTTCGTTTTAACGTTTCACAATTTTACTTGCAACCAAACTATTCGCCCCATATAATTTGTCCATTTGAACCAAGTAACTTTTGTAATAATTTTTGTTTGATCTCATGAGATATTTAATCATCCCGATTTCAGCGAAACACCCTATATATTATATATACACATAATTGTAAAAGGTATGTATGTTAATGTATATATTAATATTAACACATATTTATCAAGAACCATAACTCCAGTAAAAAAATCAATTGAATTCTTACTTCGAGAGTTCCTTCAAGTCAAACTGCTTCGCCAGATCTTCCGGTTTCGTTGGCAAAACCAAAAAGATCCTCTTGTCGTACGATTTCCTCACGAATTCGTCTCTCAAGCCCTTCACGAAGTGGACCAAACGTTCTTTCGAACCTGCTGTCATGTTTAATTCTACTCCATCGACCTGCACGCATGAAGAAACGTTGTCGAATTACAGACTACTAGATTTGATTATTTAAGTTGTTATAGAAATGTGAATTACCTCTTTCAAAATTCCCATCAGACGAGCGATGATCTCCTGACGGACTGTGCCGGAAGTTCTGAGCGTATTCCCAGGGTCATCCACGGAAATCATGAACTGAAGAGGTGGATTGATCCCTTTCAAGGATTTTTGAAAGCTCTCGAAACCTACAAAATATTTATTAGAATGTTAGCTATAATTTATGAAAACAGAAAACTCGATTAGTTACGTATTGATAGAATTAAATATTCAGGTTTAACGCTCCTATGAACAATCGCTGTATCTTCTTATTTATCTCGTGTTTACAACGTTCTCACATCTACGTCTCGTGTAATTACATAAGAACCGCTATAAAACTGAAACACGTGGTAAATGTACATTTTTATCGCAGCACACAATAACGTTTGCAATTTCTTCGGTAATAATGGGGTACCATAATTTCACATCTTAGTGTTCTTAATTTTGTTTATAAGAGAGCTCTGCGTTTCGTACGTGGGCCACTTAGAATCGGAAGAATTTTTACGCGCTTCCTGGAGCTGTATTTTTATCTTAATTGTGTAGTAAATTTCACGATAACTAACGGTCACTGGTAAAAGAAAAAAAAAAAGAAAAAATGGCTGTAAGAGGTTCCGCCTTCCATTCTACGTGATTGTCAATCTCGAACACGACACACGATGCCGTTTGGTGAAACGAAATCACAGTCTTCGTGCAATTAATCACAAACTTTCGCGCACTCTCCTAATTGGCCTTGATCTCTACTAAAAATTACAAATTGTCTTTTCCATGAATTGGTATTGTTACTATATTCAATGAAAACAAGTCAATTGAAACACAATGAAACTTTATTGCCTGGAATATTAGTTGCATGGTTTAAATAACGTGTATAAATGTGCAAACGATCTATTTCTTTACAAAATTTGAAATTCATTATATTAATCATTGAATTGCCATAAATTACGATTATAAATAGCAATACATTTTTCAGTAAAATTATAATTTCAATGGGAGTCAGATAATGATCTGATTGCACGATGGATTACATTACACTCGACTTTCTTTCGAAGTTACGGTTGCGAATTACGGTCTATACGAAAACTGGTTTGACAAAAACTCCACCTTTTACGACCAGTTGCTTTTTTCATGCAAAAGTTCCCATAATTTCGTCCAGGAGCAATTATGTTTATCCTTGCATTTATCGTATAACATTTAATGTTTAAAGTCGAATAAATATTTACGTCTTTGTTCGCAATTCTTTTAATAATTCTTTCGATTAGATTAGAATGTTTAATATATTCAAAATAAAAAAAATGAAAAAATATATTATAACAGCAGTATTTTAAGCAATGCCTCTAAGTATTTAGTGAGAACGAAAGGGTCATAAAATATTTTATAATTGTGCAAGTGCTTATCTGAGTTTCCTTTAAACCAACAATTTTATGTTCAGGTGTATTTCTTCTCTCCGCCAACAAATTTCGACAGCCATTTTTGCTCATTCAATCTCCAGTTACGTAAAAAAACTTGTCGAACTTGTTATTGCGTATAATCGCTGTCCTTAAACGTAGGGAATTGTCAGGATGGCGTGTTCTGTACTCATTATTATCAAGAGATCGTTCAAGCGAAGCATTTCGAATTGGAATCGAAAAACGCCACGGGTCCGTGCCAAAATCGTGCATGGGTGTGGCTAATGAAACGCGAAGACCGTTGAAAGTGGTTCCTACAGATGATCCAGATGTAACAAGTATCACTTTCCCTCGCGCGCGGCTAAATCATACTTAGCGAGTGTCCATTCTTTCTTGACCGAGATTTAATCTTGACATTGGGAGTGGAATGTTTAAAACGGTAGCAGTTACACAACCAAAGGGAGATTATGGGGCAGATACCCAATAAAAGTATCGTATTGCCTCTTCCAAACAAAAGGATTGAAACAATGTTTAATATTTGGTGAGCATGAGAATTATATGTAAACGTATTAAACTTAAGTCGACACGTTCATGAAGAAACATTGCTTCGCTAAATATGAACACTTTTACAGAAATTTCTTAAGCATTGTTTGTAGAAACAATGGTTTTTCATTTGTACGTGGTCGCTTTAAAAACGAAAAGAAATTTAATCATGATGGATTGGACATTTGCTGGAAGTTCTTGAAGAACTTGGACAAGAAATAGCAGTATTTTTCGAAGAGGAATTTCGATGATAAAAGTGTCATAATGTGGGGAGCTTTTTGTTCCCTCGGTGCTCTACTATTGTCGTTTTCACCGATCCGGATGAGTAGTGATGATTACCAACAAGTACTTTCTAATAATTTAATATTGTTTTTTCAAATATTTTCGCCACATTTCCCTAACGTTTCGTCATGATAACAGCAGCGTTCAACGACACTCAGGATTATTCTTGGTAGAGAAAAAGATGAGTATTTCAAGATAGCTTTTTGGGCTAGTTGCAATATTGGCATTGCTAGTTCAAAAGGAACCTAGCAAAATGGAATAATCATAATTTTGACACTTATTAAGCGTCTACTAGCTTCACTACGATGGATATTCATTAAATAAAATAAACCTGACGAATCCCTACCACCGATTTGATAATAATTCTTAATAGAATTCGTCCTAGTAAATAATTTAAAAATAAAACTATTTCATTTATTTTAATCGCAAATATTCCACGTATAGTTTAAATAACAGTAGTCCATGTTAATATCATCCACTATTTTTTGTAAGACCTTGTTTGCTGAAAAAGACACCCACGACTGTTTCGGAACAATGAGAAATGAGAATTCATTTCTGAGTTGTTAATCTTGTAAAAAAGATTTATGCACACAGAGCAGACCATATAAAATTTTATAGGTCTCTGGGTTATGGACACTCAAGTCCACGGTAATATTTTTCAACGGAATAAAGACTGTTCGCTTCCAGAGGGCGTAAATACACGCCCTTCGTAATTGATTGTTCACTTTCAGTGGGCGTATATAAACTCCCTAAGTGACGGAAAAGAGAAAGAAGGTTAATTCTTAATAACAGATTGGTGGAACGGTCATCAATAATATTAACTTTAATTTTATTGTGATCAACGGAACAATTTATTATCAAACCTAACAGCGAAGAAAACACCGTTCAAATTATTCTATTATTAGTTTAATCCTAATCGTCATAGATACACGAGTCTTCGACGAAGAAATATTTCTTCTTGAAAACAAATATCATCCGAGTGCAATCATGCGTGGCAAGGAACGAGGGCAGGGAGAAAGAAGAACTATTTAGGAGCTCGTTTTCGCACGATTATGTCAGAAATGCGGTTTAAGCTGGCGCTTCTGTCCTAATTTTTCTTGTAACACGAGTTTTCCCCTCTTTTTACTTTCCAATCTGTATACAAGGAAAGTACTGTAATCTAGCAAAATTTCGACAACATTTTTATCTCTCAAAAATACATTTCAAGACGTCTTGATCAGACTTTAATTATTTAAATAAAAAAACGCATACTTTCTGAGTATGAGTATGTTTGATAACAAGATTACGTTTAAAACTTTGACTCCTAAAAAACAACTTTTAATTTATTTAACATGTTTCAACACTTAAGCTTGAATCTACTTTGGTAATTATGATATTTATTTGTAAATTACTTTACATTTATCCTCCTTACGTTAATCTTCTTCCTTTTTTCAGTTGATTTACGTTAAATGAATTCTATTAATTTTTCATACCAAATTTGAACATGATGTGTCAGAAAGTATTATGACGCATTCGTTTCTGTTTATTTCCACGGTACAGTGAACATCGAATTTTACACTTGACGTATAATCCGTTGGGTTGGTATAATCTCTCTTTTATGCAGAATGAATTGATTTCGACGGTTTCGCAATCTTTTCGGGCTGTTTATAAGGGGAAACTTTTTTTTTCTTGCACAACAAGTAACTTTAATGACAACCCAAGATCTGGCACGTCCATTGCAATTATCCGACACAGAAACTGTTGAGATTTATGATGGTGAAATGCGTAGGTTGTTGTCAGCTTGAATCTTCAAACATGACGCGATAGATTTATGAAACGAAAAGTGTGATATAAACATATATAGATCTGCGACACACCTCCGATTGTTAATCGAAATATTTAAGAGTCGTTAAGACTATCGATGAAACTTGGTAACAAACTCAAAATGTCGCTGAAACTTGCTTGACATGATTAATTAAAACAGCGACGACCGGCCGTTAATCGCGATGTTAAAGATAGTTTTCACGTCTGGAAGGTAATGACATAATTACGCGTAGTCGGTGACATAGTAAGCGGGTGCAATAATTGTTGTGGACAATTTCAAACGATAGCAAACTTGAAACGGCGATGTCATTTGCTAACGTCTATTAAAACATGATGATCAGCGTGTAGAATTGAAGTAATAGGGTCAGGTGAATAATAAGTGAATAATGAGTTTCTAAGAGTAGTATTTGCTCACGTATAAATTATACATTTCGGGTCTCGACAAGTTATTATATTTTATCCAAGAAACAAAATGAGAATGTTAACGTAAATTAACGTGCTATCAACAGGAATGACTTTTATCAGAATGACAGTTAAGCCTTATAACTCTCTTCAATACTTACAAATTGTTGAATTAGAATTTTTGTAGTAAATTTCACATGAAATTTTTTAGATGGTTTCTCAATCAGTCATATTATACAATTGGAAATTCTGATAATATTATTTAGAAGTTCAACGACGAAAAGTGGAATTCAATTACTCAGGTCAAAAAAAGGATGATCGTAAGAATATACGTTTATTGTGGTTATGTCTCGATATCCTGTTACAAGTTCAAGGATGTGGTTGCATCTCTATAAGTGTGTTGTTTATGTAATCGTGATAAATCTAATCTCTTACATCTTACAACATTATCGTAATTTGCGATGTTATTACTATCACCAGTGAAAATCTTTAATGACGGTGAAAATGATAATATCGAATTTTCCAAATATTGCATTCAATACGATAAGTAAAGACATACTCTAAAATATCATGACAATTATTATTAAGCAATATTTGCAGTTATTTAAAAATTATTTATAGTAAATTGGAAACGATCGAGATAGTTTTCAAAGAAGTATGATACCCTTGCATTATACTACTTTCCAGTAATATAAACCTTGCTTTCGTTCACGCGTCAGTTTGATTAGTGGTTTCTCGCAATTACCATTAACAAGCAGTTCCTACTGCTAATAGTATCTTAGAAATCAAACGAGTTAATGATCCAGATAACTTGCATGAAGGTCATGAGGTGAATATACTCTACCATAACACTTCATTCTTATATCCACGCTAATCAAATTTCAACAATACTTATTATAGATTGATTGCTCAATAAAACTTTATATTTGTCACTATCTTCGTCTTTAGAAACATTATAACTTCACTATAATGTTTTCAATCGTAATTTCAGTCCTTTTTAGTAAATCACATACTAATCTGTAACAGTATTATTGCACACAAATTATATATAAAATACTAACATTCGATAGAATTTTAATGAATGCAGATGCAACTGCCGCATCAATTATTAAATACATAATTCAGTCACGGAATTGATTGATACTCTTCAATTTTGTAACAGTATGTTTCCAGGAATTCTAATTACAATTTTCCGGTTATTCTATAATTATATTCCCGTACATCCGATCACGACGAATTAGAAATCAGCTGACATAATCGCCTAGCTTCGATCGTCGCGATTATCGCGAATTGTTTATTAAACGAACGCCGCTTTGCGTCAAAATTAACGCATTAGGCTTCCTTGCGTACGTTTACCGATAATCGTTGCGCGATGAATTATGGCGTGGACTTACCAGAAGTCGAGAGATTTCGCACGTCATATCCTTGATGTACCAGCGTGGTGCATCTGCAGATTGTATTCGTCAGCTGTTCGACGTCGGAAACGGAAGTGTAACATACGACTTCTCGCCCCGGAGACGTCTTTTGCTTTGGGCATTCTGAAATTAAATAAATATATTTGTTATTTTAAGAAAATCATGCGAGGTGCTCTACAAGGTGCTTTTAAATATAAACTAACACATTATAAAGTATGAAACAAATTTTATCATGGAGTCGAGAAAAGTAAAAATTATTTTAATTATTTTAACGCAAGAAAAATATTATTTGAATTGCAATACATTTAGGTGTCAAAGAATTTGCAAATTTGTTAACAGACATTAGTAATTTCTACAAAAATCTCTTACACAGATATAAATTACACCATGAGATTTATTATTTTAAGAAGTTAATTATTCTGTAGTAGAGAATCTTAAAGTCCAACAGTGTATAGAACATCTGAAGATATCAACAGTAGTATAGAATTCGTGCTTCGAGATAAACCGAAGCAACAAAACCATACGCAAAACAGTACCTCGATTATCTTGCATTGCCAACAATAATTGCATAACTCGGCTATCTTTTGATATCAATTTTACGGTTCTGTGAATGGACACGCTCGAAGCAAATTTACTACTCAGAAGCCGAGTGAAAATAACGGTACCGATCTGTAATTTTCTGTGTCCCTGAGACGAAACGTTACAAAAATAAGCCAAAAATTAGCAGCTTCGAATAACCGTTTGTTATGTATGTACATTGATTGAACGTTGCCGTTGACATCATCCTTCGTACGCTATGCAACCGTTGCTATAATAATCGTTTACATAGCCGTCGCAGCCTTGCCATTCTCCGACAAGAAAAAGAAGAATCATGCAGGAGATGCTCTGCACAAGCAAACAACTAATGGATCAGGGTGCGATTTTTGTAAACAATAAATTTTTAATTAGTCGTCGAGGATATACTCGACAACAATGGGGACAGAAACCTCATGGTGAAGAGCGTATATCTATTGTAAGGTAACAATTGTCTAACGATAGACTCGAGCAAAATGGACTTCAGATGAATGCAGAGATGAGCAACATTATATTCGAATAATGGATAACGAATAAAACGAATATAATTTTTATTTAACGAGCAATGAATGAGTAGTTGTTTAATTTTCATTTGTTATTTCGAATTTGTATTTATGTATGAATTTTGGTTAGCTGGGACTGGATGAAAAGAATTTCACGAATTCTATTCCATTATTAAATGACGAATAAAACGTATAGAAATTTATCCATGACGATTAGTTATTCACTAATAGTTTAATCGATTCAATAATTAATGTTATATGTATTCATTGTAAAATGGATTGCTTCAGTTACAATTATAATTTTTATTTAACGAGTAATAGATAATTAATTGTTTATCTTTCATTCATTATTCGAAATTTTAATTTGGATAAGAATTCTACTCATGCCTGGCTGAACCAAAAAAACAGTTTTGCGAATTATCTATATTTATCGAACTTCATCATTGACGGTATAAACACATGGAAATTAGAGACTAAATGTTAGTGTGGACGCGATTGTTAAATAATGATGTCAGGTAGCTAATTCATCTGTTAATACAATCCTTTCCTCCACAATTTAGAATATACTTTTTTACACGTACATGTATCGAAGCACATACGAGACTGTACAATTAGTTATACATAATTTATATTAATAAATAATCAAACACGATTAGCTAAAAACAAGTATAAATTACTAATTTTGCTATGATTTTATCTTTACATGCGATGGACAAATATGTAGATATCACCTACTCCTAATGAATAGTACCGATGTCTATTAATCACTCCAGTCCTAGATTTCTTTCTCATTGGGTAAGAGAAATATTAAATATGATTGCAAATAACAAGTGTAGTTTACGATTACTGATCAATGTGACAATAGTGAGTGATTATTAGAAAAGTAACCACCAATTAATCACTAACTCTGAATATATGTAGTATATATGACCTTCGGGACTAATTTTAATTTCGAAATAAATAATTAACACTTCTGCGTTTACTTATTTTCAAATAAAATTATGAGAATCGATACATGAAAATATAACGTTTAAGAATAATGTAATAATTTCTTGGTCGGAGGAAATGTTCCACGCAACAAAATTCCCAAAGATCCCCTCACTTTCGCTTGCCCTAGGTGCATGAAGTCCCTCAATCGAGGACCGAACTTTCTTTCTCCTTGGAATATCGATGCACCGCCCGAGAGTGGAATGTCTTCTTCGAATTTTTGCACGTGTGATGGCCGAAGATCGACCAGGTTTAATGACGTAAATGGTACCGTCCTTGCTCGCGTGGATCGTTGCTCCAGTTGCCGGTTGCGCAATCTAACCTTAGAGGAGAAGACGGTCCCGATACGAGTTAAACGATCGTGAAAGCGCGTGAATCGAGAAGAAGATCAAGGAGTGATAAGTTTTCGATTAAACGACGAAATTAGCGCTCACGTCATACCCATTCCGTAGGTGTTAACAACCGTATGACTCTTTGTAGAAAATAAATGGATATTTTCTTGTAACGTGGGATACCAATCGTCATTGAATTGTATTTGTTTTGGATCGTATCTTTTACGAATCATCCAGGTAAAGAAAATGTAATTTTTTATTTCAGAATTTTTATCTGGATAATAATGACGAATAAAAATAAACACTTTGTATGTATTACACGTTGAATAAAAATTCTAGAATACAGTGTTTTGTACCGAACAAATGAACGTGTAACTGTTTGGTTAAGTAAATTTCGAAATAAATAAAAAATCAAATAGATAAATAATTCTGACTATTTATGATCTTTGGACCTTTTCAAAGATTCAAAGAATTGATTAAAGAAAAGTTAATTGATTATTCCATGTGTATCTCTACTATATACGATATTTAGAATTATTTACACAAACTGATCCCAAATATTAAAATAAAACTAACAGACTAAATTGTTATTTTATTAATTTTTAAATGATGCTTTGTCGATGTTTCAAAAGACCAAATAAAAAGTGTTCATGATGTAACAGTCGACTTAGTTACTGAACCGTAAAATTTGTCGAACTGTACAATCTTGACGTAATAGCCGCGAGGATTAACTTCCGTCTGCAGTTCTTAATTTTTACTACCTAATCAACACCTCCAATTCTCAGAAAATTCGAAAACGTTGCATCAAAATGAATCTTAAAGTTAGTTTTCTGGTAGTTAGGACAACTGAGAATTTCAATGCAAAATGGTTAAAGAAGATTCTGTGAGAAATTTTTATACATGTATTTGCGATAATACTAATAAATGCTCATTTTATTATTTTAATAATGAATTTGATAAAATTTTCCTATTAACCACAGCATTCAATAAAACACTCTGTGCAATGCAAATGGTTATATAAATGTCAATACATTTCATAAAAAGTTCCAGCATACTACGTGAATTATTGTTGAATGATTTGTAATGATTAATTTCGTCGAAGCCTTGCGAGGTGCTGTCGTGATTTTTCAACCGCGATTATAAGCGTTAAACAAGCATGTTCTACGTGCCACGCAACTCTTCATTAGACGTTCGCCATTCATCACCCTCATTCATAAGTCAAACGGTGTTTCTTTGAACCTGACAGAAGCGTATCAGATTCTACTCTTACTCCTTGCACAACGCGTTTACTCTAAACCGCAGACTAATTTAAATTCCCCCTGAAACGGTACGTAAGAAAGTAATGATTCCCTTTAGTAGCTTTTAAAATCTAGATAATGTTTGATATCATCAGGCCAACTATACGTTGTGTCATGTGTGGACATTAAGATTATTATTTGATAAAAAATCGTTGAAATGAAAATAGAAATTAGTTTTTATGCTTGTAAACCGTTTATTGCGCTGTAACAAATATTATGCTTTTTGTTCTTTGATAATGAATTGACATGTTTTTTACTTATCTAGGTTATCTTCAAGTATATAGAAATTATTTATAATTTTAAAATGACAAGTATAATATAAAGATTCAAATTTATAAGTGTATCATATAACATGTAATCTTAAATGTCTATATATTTAATTCTTGCATAATATATTTCTATATAATCTGTTTTCACTTGTATGTAAGTTTGAATTATTGATTATAAGTCACTGTTGATTTAAAAATGATAAATGATCCATACTGATAAGTGATCTATGTTTCACTTTTTTCATGAGAAATAGTAGTAATAAATATTATGTCAATTATCAAAAATTCACCTGCATATTGTAATTCTTTAATTCAATTAAAATTCATTGAACCTTGAATAACTTGAGTACACCTTGAGTACACCAGAAGTATATATAAATCCTAAAGATTAAAACAAATAAAAGAGAACAAATGAGAATAGATAACACTCATAGATACAGAAATGTCACATAACAGTTAAATTAAAGTGACAGTTACCTACAAATAAAAACACTCGTTAGAAACTACAGGAAAAGTATATTTCTTAATGTCTCTCACAGAGATTCTGTTCTAGATATAAAATCTCATTACGCACTTAAACTTTCAACTACTGCGCCCGAGTACTCCAGTTACTCTAGATTCTTAAATAAAAAATCAACTGTTCGACTTACATAAATAATTCTGTAAGATTTCGAGTTAACATTAGTTGAAGAGTTCATGAAGAGCTCTTTTTTTATAATTCTTTAATAAATTGTTTTTATCTGTTCCTTTGGTAAAGTTATTTGAAACATTTATATTCTTTTAAGTTAATTCTAATCGATTTTTTACATTGCCAACTTGTCATTTTTTAGTTTGTATAAATACAAGCTTGCCTATGAATAAATAAACTGTTCTATTAACCTTTTCATGCTACCATCACAATATAGCATTTATTTCTATCTCAAAATTGTTTAATAGCAATTACGTATCATTGTATTAAAATGTCGCAGCTAATTTGCTACAAATCGTCTGTCAAACTTAATTTACAGTCGTCGAAAAGAAAGTACACAGTCGATTTCATAATAACAGTATAAATTCTCGACAATTTACCTTGAAATCGAATAAAAACGATACCATGTACACGAAGGGGTTGAAAAGAAATATCACAGAAGAAATCACAGAACTCTACCTCGTCAGTAATTCCACCCATTCCCCAAAAATGAGCTATTCACTGTACAAATCGATTAACTCCGCTTTTTGAAATATCTTAAATTTAAATGTCAAAGCACTCAATATAGCCATAACTTATTATATTTATAATAACTTTCCGGAATAATAAAGATTGACACCATCAAGCGACAAAATTTGTTTGGCTATTGAATAATAAATAATTAAATTAAATAAATTTTATTTCAGAGTCCTTTCCTTCGTAGTTCTCGACTTTTTGTTTTATGAAGTTAACCGATTCGTGCAACGAACGGCTTAAATATCAATCGAATATCAAACTCACGTAAACCGTAGCTCAGTCCCAGCAGTCCAAGTAGGACAGCCACGATGATCCTGTCGATCATCCCGTCGACGATCGCGTATCCCGTTGAGTTTCTAAGATCCGCTAGATGAATAGCAGCAGGTCCGACAGTGGTGGCCGAGGAAGTGACACTCCAGCCCCGAGATCGGCGCTCATCGAGATTAAAGAACGGATCGACGAGTGTGGTACTGTTGCCACTGGTAGCGAGAAGTTCCACCAATCTTCAGGCTAGAGAAAGCCTTCTTTCTCTCTCTCGGTCTCCGTGTGTCTGTCTTTCGTTTTGCCTCTCAGCCGAGTGGGAGATCAAAGGAGGCGAAGGATCCTTCGAGTTCGAGAGCGCGTTTCGCACTGAACCTTCGGAGGATTCGTGGTCTCTTAGTAAACCCTACCGATCGGATGGAAGCAACCGTGGAACGATGCTCGAGGGAGATGGAGTTACGGGACAGAAATCGAGGGGGAACGAGAGATCGGATAACACGGCCGTCGGACACCGCCGGATTACCAGATGCCGCGGGTGGGGTACACCCGGCTGGCCCAGATCGGGACACTTTCCGTGTTACGCGTATGCCACCAGGTTAAAAATAGGATGACTCGGTGCTCCTTCGCGATTAAACCGATGCGGCGAGCGTTAGGATTACTTAACGCCGATCCTTCGGCGCGTCTTTTTTCCGAACGCCGCGGAACGCACTCGGCGGCACACGCGTTGACTGTACCGTGTCAGCGGATCAAGGTGAACGCCGCAGACTGAAACGAGGTTCGATAGAAAAATTGCTAAGGAATATTTTTGGACGATGCCTGACTATTGACTGTACTGATTCTACCATTTAGTGGGGCTTGATTAGTGGCTCTTGCCGAAAAAAAGTTGTTTTCTTCGTAATTCTTAATCCTTCTCCTTCCCGAGAAATTTAGTCTGCGGGTGGTAATGAGATTTTAGTGAATCGAGTGGATGGTAACAGGTACCTAAAGTTAACACTAAACCTACCGACGTTTATTTGTATTCACTTCTACCGTGTTTAATTAAATGACATATATATTTAGCTAGACACTTGATAAGAAAGATAAACATAATGAATTTGTTTCTAAACAAAACTGTTTGTGTTAGAATGAAATGACAATTTTTAAAATTGAACAGAACGTTTATGACACTTGCCGTGGTATTATATTTTCAATTAAAAAACAGATGATATAAATTTTTAAAAATAAAATCACTATATATCAACTACATCAACATATATTACAAATTTATTTGGCATTTTATTATAATTCTATCTTTAAACTTTTCTGTGACTGGTCTTAAAGACACTTTTTTCAAGTGTATGCAAAGATATTTTACGCGATACTAAATTCAATAGTACATGAAACAATTGGATATAATTTATATATATTACATATAAGATCTGTACACAAAAGTTGGAGAACGGTCATTTGACCAGTCGTTGTAGGTTTAGTGTTAAGGAACATGTGATGTGGAGTGAAGGAAGAGATGATGAGATTTTAGTTAATTGAGTGGATAGATCTTTAGATAAAGTTTATATGCAGACATATTAGTCACCTCTCGTAATTCCTAATACATTACCGAGGTTGCGACATAATAGGTACTGGATTAAATGCAAATGAAAGGATCAAATTTAACTTTTCCACTTATGTTCGAGCCCTCATCATAAATTTCCATTAATTTATCAAGCTATAAATGTCAAATGGGAACGAGTAAGTACGTTCCACCTAAAGAATTGAAAGAGATGATGCTGTCTAAGCAAGAGCACTTATAAAATACTCCAAAAAGATAACACTACAAAAATGTAGGTGAAGGTAAGTGACAGCCACGAGAATTAAACTCGTTCTCCTGACTGAAATCATTTCAACGATGTACTAACTGGAGACTCGTGAATCTAAATTTTGAACCTACGCTGGCGCTGTCGAACGAAAAGAAACGTTTCTGCGGCCTTTACGCACTTTTGCAGCCATCGTTTTCACTTTCGATAATCTCAAGCTTTGGTCTATGCTCCTGATCAAGTTTCAAGGGCAGATCTCTTTTCTCCAATGGCCCTCCAACTCGCATTATTTTACACAAAGCCTACAAGTGTCCTGAGCGGTAATATTCAAAGAAAAGTTTTATTTTCAGATTGGAAAATGGCAAATATGCTTCTCGATTATGGATTCAGGAATTGAATAGTTAGTGATTGCATCGCTTTGAGGGGTTATACATATATATTTAGCTAGACACTTGGTAAGAAAGATAAACATAATGAATTTGTTTCTAAATAAAACTGTTTGTGTTAGAATGAAATGACAATCTTTAAAATTGAACAGAACGTTTATGACATTTGCCATGGTATTATATTTTCAATTAAAAAACACATGATATAAATTTTTAAAAATAAAATCACTATATGTCAACTACGTCAACATATATTACAAATTTATTTGGCATTTTATTATAATTCTATCTAAACTTTTCTGTGAAACTTTTCGTCGACATACACGAATTAAAAAATTAAATAACTTTAAATAGTTTGCTTAAAAGAAATTCTTGAAATAGAGCTTCATTTTCTAACAAACAATTACTTACAACCGTCAAATACGATTTTTCACTTGAATCATTCCGCACTGCGACGATCACGAAATTGCGTTGCGATGGGTACAAAAATCAACACTGTTTCACCCTGGACATAAGTGGAATATTATTCTAGTACACTCGATTGTTATTAATTTACATGTGTGTTTAGCGTTTCATTAGCGACGTTAGGTAGTGACAGCACAGCCTGACATATTCGACACATTCTCTGACACGGTGTTTACTTTGTCATTGATTCACTCTATAGAGAATTTTTTAATCTCAAGTTACGAATCTCCAGGTGAATCGAGATACCTTGCACGAAATACGGTCCAAGGCGTTGGAGAAGAAACGTTTCTCGATGATAGATGAGGAAGCATGTAGTATGATGATGATCCAATGCGAATGGTTGATGTTTTATGTCGTTGATCTACCCCTTTAGCACAATATTTTCGAAGACTATGATCGTACCTGGCTCGCGGCTGATCAGAAGCACGCGCTGCGGCCGACTGGTTCGTACTACCATAAGTAATTCGAATCCTCATTCTCATGATACCCTGCACGTGTTTACCCGTTTGTCCAGTGTCCAGGATAAATTCTACTGATGCTAGATTAATCACTAACGTATGCTAATCGATAATGGTCACCGTTGTATGCACTGATGCTGTGTTACGTCAGCGAACGTCTCGTACATTATCGTCACGTTAACGTTACTATGAATTTCAGTACGTTAAATTGTCTGTACGAGCAGATACGAAATGTTTCGACACTTGGGATTGGATTCTCTTTCCATTTGTTTAGAAATTATCATGGAAATACTTATTCTTAGTAGCATGAGAACCTTTTAGAAGTCAAACTGATCATTTCCGCCATAAATTTCTTGATTTAAAAAGAATATCAGAAAACAGTGATAGAGTGATACTTATAACATTAGTTTTTACTTATTATGAAAATTAATAGAAATATTATAACATCGGAAGAATACTAAAATTGTAAATAAATATTTGTATTTAAATTTTTGTTATCTTATCAGGGTAAATTTCTGTTTACTTCCAACAATTATTCGTTTCCGAAAAAAATAATAACTTGTTGCAAAATAATTATGTTGCCATTTGAAGTTTATGTATCAGTACGCTTTAGAAATTCGATAGATCGTCTAGATGGATCCATCAAGGTGATAACCGAAAAAGGGTGGATATCTGAGCTGACTAGTCGTCGATTACTAGAAGGAGATCGTCATCGATGTCGTCACTGGATCGTGAGAACACTTCCCTCATAGAATAGGTGTACAGTGGAAGCTCGTTACGGTCAGCCAATGCTGTTTTTCGATGGCTGATTTATAGATACCACTAATGAAATATTAATCACTGAAATTCCATGCAGTCTTGGAAACTCTGGAAATTTCAAAGCTCCAGATAGTACTATAGAGATTGAATATTAATAAAGTGTCAAAATATTTGTTCAACCCTAGATCAGTATTTATCAAAGAAAATATTGATATTCGTAAAAGTCATTTGTTTTTATTTGAAGGAATTATCATAAAAAATCAATTCAATAAGATTTAATTTCCTTGAATAAATTAGGAAAGTATGTTGAAGCTACATTCTATTACAGCTAAATTGATACTAATATTTGCGTTAAACAAAAATATATAATTGTCAGCATTTCTTCTATTGTAATAACCCTACACACGACTCATCCATAGTCCTCAAAAACCGCCAATTTCACGAAGGATTTAAGAACAAAAGTCCGGCCTCACAATTGTCCAACGCAATAAATAAACAAAGGGTAGTGCGAAACTGTAAAACAGTTGTGATTTATTCCAGTCATGAAAAGTGATTCCTTTTCAATGATTACCTCGGGGCCCACACTGAGAACAAGACGGATGATCATGTGAATCATCGTCAATAAGGTCGTCTCGCGAATATCCAGGTCTTCGCGTTATGTGTTTCACGCGATTGCAGTTTCTTCCTACGAATTACGTCACGTACAAGAGGAGCGACAAAGCGGTCGTCCTGTCGCGGCGCGATTTCCGTGGCGGTTGTTCGTGATTGCCACACAGAATCGACACACCTCATACGCAATAAATTTTGAATGAAGTATTGCACTCTGACGAAAGAATGCTCTTTCGGTGTTCACGACCATTTTCGCCAACGCGCAGCAGTTCGACGAGATTCCGCTTCCACCGTGATTACTTTTATTTACGATCCTCGAACGCACTCGATGCGGAGATCTGTCTTCGAAAAAATTAAAATAAAAAAAATTGAAAGGACAGGGAATATTTAATGTGTCACGTGTCAAATGACGTCCAGGATATTTTAGGGTACTTGGTAATTGTTGGGGACTGCGGAAAGGTTGTTTTTAAAATTGGGGTGTAGTGCAGGGGTCAGCAAACTTTTTTGGAAAAGGACTGAGTAATAGATATTTAACTCAAGAATTTACTTATGCATATAAGCTCAATACGTAGACACGACATGGTTTACTTCCAAGTTAGTATTTTGATGTCTAGGCTCTTTGGCTCGAAGACATATTTGATAAGACTAGGAATGTCAAAATAAAGGTAATTGTGTTAATAGAAATAGCTATGAGACCATATGTGAATACATTTATTTTATTGTAACTACTATATATCATTTTATTGTGTTTTAAGATTGAGATATAATAATCTTGCAATGCAACGATTTATACACAACCAACAGAGGGACACTTTTTTTTATCGTGTAGTATACAACTGAATATAACAAATATTTCGTAAATCGAGAGGCCAGTATGCTTCGCAACAAAGTGGTCTCCGATACTTAGGATCACACAGTATAACGACCCCATCGCAACAGCCTGTCATGCATCAATTGAATGCAGTTATCATACGCAATTTAATTTTCCTTCTGGCAACAAAATCTCGATAATCGGACAGGTATCGATAGCTCCCGCGACGGGAGACCGCTTCCCATATCCGAGACGACAACGAAAGAAAAGCGGCGCGTTCATCATTCGCGCGCTTCGGGCGATCTGGTGCAACTGCAACAATGCACGTACAGACGCACCGAGGGAAAGGAACCGTTTAGAAAATTACCGCCGGTAAAAAGACCGCGCGGTCACTTGAAAAGGAGACACTTGTCTCGTAGTGGGCGTCTAGGTGGTCGAGCCGCCTTTTACAAAGTCTTTAACTGTGTCGTGGGTTTCGTTCGTGACGCACCGGTAGCGTGTTCCGCGATGGAAACGACCGGTTACGCGATGGAAAAAAAATGTTTTCCGCCTGCTGGACCCATCCGTGACGTTTTCCAGCGATTCAATGGAAATTTGAATATTCCCCGAATCGTTGATGAGGATAGAGGTTTGATTCTGCGAACGTTGAACTTGTTTTTCAAGAATAAATTGTTTGGATTTGTTCGATTTATTTGGTCAGTAATGATTTTTCTTTGAATTCAATTTTATTTCTGTAAAAGAAACATGCAAAATATTATTATCACATATTTTGTATGATAGACAAACAATATTATTGTATATTGTATGAATAATATATAGTACTCTTAAAGTATTCCTTATCGTATGACTTTGAGATTTACCTAAATGTACAAAATCATGGAAATTGTATATATGTATATGCTACGAAAATATCTTAATGAATATAATTAGATGACGGTGAAGGAGGAGTCTATCACCTACATGTTATACAGGTATAATTAAGTAATGGGTCGAAAAATAGTGTGACGTATTTTTCCCTATTAATTGATCCTTCTGAAAATTTCTTTGCAGTCTTTTAATTTTTTAAGCGAAGGTGTCAATAAAATGTTACTCCAGGTTTGCGCATGATGTTTCATAATTTATCTGATATTCGAAGAGTGCATTGCATCAACCCACATTCTGCTAGTCACGTAAAAATACAGGTTCTGTGGATCGCCCACCAACTTCCGGACACGAAAAAATAAAGCGATATATCAACCTGTAATAAAAAGTAACTCGTTTTTCCTTGAGTTCTTGCGTACAACACGTGTCTTCTTCGAGTGGTGCCATGTTCAAAGTAGTCCTTTAACAAGAATCAATTCTTAACTTGTCAATGTTTTTCCTTTTACTCTTATACGCAAGTGTACTATTAATAAGTATAACAAAATTGAAATTGAAACGCAATGTTTCGACATTTTATAGGTCTTCATAAGAATTTTATGCAAATAAAATCTTGATATCATTTAATTAAGACTTGGGTGGAGTCGGAGCGTTGCGTTTAGATTTTCATGGTTATAACGTCATAATAGAAATACGAGTTAAAGCGGAATCCCTCGGCACTGGTAACGGACCAAAGTTTCATTCAAGAATGCTACAATCGCGGATCTAGGTTTGGAGGTGGCTAATGACTCACTGAAATAGTCTTTCCGTGTCGTGTAAATTTATCTCGAGACTAAGGTTTGTACTTCCAAATGCAGAGAAGACGAGTCTTATCATACCAATGATCTGTCAAAACACAAAAGCCGGACAATGGAATCGCTGGCTTTCATGCGTTGCTCGTAACCACGTTTTCGTAATTTACACGCGAAACGACCTTCGTGCACCGCGAAGTCGCTTGCCAAAATATCAGACGGTGACCAATAAAAAGATTTCTGAGACGTGCAAGGTCAGTAAAGCGGACCTACGACTGGTTGAATTGCAGGATTATGCGTAACGAGCACTGACGCTCCGCTTCCACGCGAATAAAGTGTCGTGAGCGTCGGTTTAACCAACTGTACTTGCTTGATTTTGTTCCATAAGAGAGCGAGGTGTTAGGTCTGGACCATGGATGGGGAGAACTTTATTCGAATAATATATGATGAATAAAAACTCTCTATAGACATTTATTTGCAAGGTTTGGTCAATCGAGTAATTACTGAAACAGGTTTTGTTCATTCAATGTCGGATATCGGTGAATAAATTCTCATTTTTGTTTAATTTGTGATTATGAAATGCTGTTTATGTTTTATTTATTATTCGAAGTAGTTAGATGAGAATTTTACTTGGCACTTACCAAGAAGATCGAATTTGTTCCACGAAATTAATCGTCGTACTTAGAATAATATCAATTCTCACGATCATCATAATTGCTACAAAATAAGAATACAATAAATTATAACGAGCGATCAAGAAAAAGGTCTTTTCGGTGACATATAAAGGAATGAGTAACAGTGGCCTTGCATCGGATTCTGTTTTTCGACACCCAAGATCGACACTCAGGGGTACAATTCTGCTACAATTGGATCGATTTCGTAAGTCGCTGTATTTCAATCATTTTTCCCCTGTCTTGTACCATAAACAACCAACTGTCTCCTGTCATGCATTATTTCTTAATAAAAAAATTGATAATATATTACGATATGTAGTGCAATATTTTTTTTTAAATCAACATTGCACGAGACGTACCTACATGCGCATGCATGTTAGATTCAGAAACTGCATCTAAGCTGCACCTCGTTTCTTTGCACACATTATTTTCTTGTACAATGTTTACCTTACATGTATCTTGCCGCGGACTTTGCGCAACACAGATGCCGAATAAAAT